AAGGCCCGTTCAGGCGGCGCTGCAGGGTTCGCTCTGCTCCTGGCTCTCTGCTCAGAGAGGAGCCGTAGGAGCCGGCGAGTGCCAGGATGAGTCAGTGAGGATCAGCCAGCCAGAGGGGCAGCGTGGGCGGCCTTGAGCTCCCAGCTCCCGGGGATAAGGAGGGGAAGGAATGAACGTCTCGGCCGGTGCGGGACCAGCCCGGCTCTGGCTCTGCCCTGCCGGGGCTGAGGGGTTTAGTCTGAGCTGCCTTTGAGGGTGCAGGCGATCCCCTCTCCGTGCTCTGCAGCCTGGAGAACCATTTCCAGTTTCTCTGGTGAGGTTTCACCGACTGCAGGGACCAGTCCTTCCTCTCACCCGGCCAGAGGGTTTCCTGCTGCATCGGGACTGGCCGCAGAAGGGACAGGCCCTGCCGGCCGAGGTCCCTGGCCACCTCTGAGCCGAGAAATGCGGCTGTAAAAGGGGTATGGCTTTCTCTCCAGGGTCTCAGAGGGCATTAACACCATCTCCTGTGCCCCGTGCAGAGCAGAGCCGTGCCCAGACACTGGGAGAAGCTGCTTTGTGCCCCCGTGATTCCTGCAAAAGTGATTCCTGCACCGTGCCCGAGCTGAGCACGGGAAAGGGCCGGGGGACACCAGCTCCCACTGAGCAAAAAGGGTGAGTCACTCATGAATAAGGATTATTCTTAGTCCTGTCCCCCACCTCCGTTTTCTCCCCCCAGCGCTGCTGTTCTTGCTCTAGGCTTTCTTAAAAAAAAAAAAAACACCAAAAAAAAGCACCTCCTCCTTCCCTGCCTCCTTCCCCCTGTTCTCCCTCCCAGACATCAGCGCTCCCAGCACACCCAGAGTCTCAGCAGCGGGAGCGCAGGCAGGGATGTGTCTCACCAGGGGTCTGGATGGGGCAGGGATGTGTCTCACCGGGGGTTTGGATGGGGCAGGGACCCACGCTCGGGGAGAGGGGGCTCACGAGGGTCACCCCCCACTCGAGCTGGCACCTCAGCACCTCTCAGATGGGCCAGTGGCTCGGTCGAAGGAGCCTCGTGGCTCCAGGGAGCAGCTTCTTTCCAGCTCTTAACTATCTGCAGCTGCTGATAGCAGAGAAAACTCAATTTTCTGCTCTAGATTTTGTTCCCAAAAGAAGCATTTTCTGTGCCTGACTTGTAACACCGGCTCCTGCTCACTTCCTTTGGGGAAGGGACACAAAATGGGCTCCAAACCCAAGAAACAAGCCTCCCAAATGTTCAGCTCTTGCGGGAAGTGCTCGGCACTCCACTGAACGAGGTGCTCCCCTCACACCTGCCATTCTTGGGACCCCGGGTTAAACCATTTCTGAGGCCTCAACAGCCAGGAAAGCTTCAAACTAAGGAGTCCTGGCTTCCTCTGTGCCTGCTGCCACAGGAGCCTTCCCCTGCAACTGCCACAGCAAATATATCCCTTTGTTAGGAAAAAAAAAAGGCCTTAAAAGGAAGGTTCTTGCCAGCAAATTCATTCAGAGCAAAGTGCTGGGGCCCATCAGAACTGCAATTAAAGCACAGCACTTGGCAGCACGATGAGCAGCCTTGGAGCAGTCCCACAGTTCCCATCTCATTCCCCAGCCCCAACTCTCACCTTTCCTGTTGGATCTCACGAGGGACAGGATCACTGCCTCCTTCTCTCTTCCCTGGAAACCATCAACTGACTTAATTTCTAGCTCTGGGTACCTGTGGCAAAGGTCCTCTCTAAGCATGTCCACCTGGAAAACATGGGATAGATATCTGCTAAAGAAAAGTGCAAGGCCAAAAGGATTAAAATGGCACTGTTTTGGTAAAGTATCTCCCTCTCAGACCCACAGGGGTCTCCCGAAGCTCAGGCACTGACGCCTGGGGCTGGGAGGGAAAACGCCCAGTGGACACCTCTTCCCTCCGTGGCCTCAGGCTGCTGAAATGGGGAGAAGCTGGCCCCAAATTCTGATTATGCAATTTGGCCCTGCTGACTTCCACCTTCATCTCTCCGAGGAGGTTCTGGTATCACTCCCAGAGACATCAAGGTTTGAATCCACCCCTGAGAGCGTGAGGGAAGAGAGAGGAGGTGGCAGGAGCGGGTGGTCTCACCTGGAGGTTGTAGGGGGCTATGACAGCGATGTCCCGTGCCTTCACCCCGGCTTCCACCAGGGCCTGGACGTGCAGACGGGTCAGCTGCACCTCGCCTGGGGCAGAGAGGGGACAGGCAGAGGCTGAAGCCAACAGCTTGGACATGGAGAAATGTGCCCACCTCCCCCTAAGCAGCAAGGACAGGCTGAGGAAGGTCCTGCCTGCGCGCCAGCGTGGCCCAGGGCTGACCATTCCCAGCCTTGGCTCCCACTCCCAGAGCCCCACAGCACCCGTGTCCTGCCCTTCCGAGTCCCCACCTCACTAAAGCTTCAGAAGAGCTTTCTCAAGAGCACTTGCCTTTCCCCGGCCTTCCTCTATTAATCCAAGAGATCAACGATAATCCAGGCAATAGATTATTTTCTCTCTGAAGTCAGACCCTACACCTCACTAAAAATCCAATTCTCCACACTGCAAGGGAAAAAAAACTCCACCTTTCCTTTTTGTTCTGCTTTTTCAAGTCCCCACATTTCTAAATCCCCAGCACCCAATGCAGAAGCTTCACGCTGGGCTCCGTGTGCTCGGAGCTTCAGAGGCTGCGGGCAGCCTGCCCCAAACGGCCTGCTCAGGGGGGTGCTGGGTTCAGAGAGATCAGAGAGGGCAACTTAAATACAAATGTGAACCATTTCACTGGTTTATGGGCTCAACTGACATTACCCTCCGTTCTGCAGAAAAACCTAGTTACAAAAATCCAGCATTTGCAGCATGCTCCACATGCCTCCCAAATTCTGGGAGCCATGTGTTTAATCCCCTGCTTCAAATCCCGGAGTTATCTCGACAAGTCTTTTTGGGTCTTGCTGGGGGACAAGAGCCCTCCTCTGTTCAGCAAGGCCTCAGGGACTGCTGCCTGGAAAAATGATGGGCAATTCAATGCTGGTGGGTTTGAAAAAAGAAAAAAAAAAAGGAAGGCAAAAGATATTTAAACTGGTAAAAAATGTCCTTGTATTTTACAGACCATTTTCCCTGCCTGGGCAGAGACAGGCTTGGAGCCTCATTGCTGGCAGGAGATCTGCACCGGTGAGTGAGAGGAAAACAAATTCACCCCTGATGCAGGCAGCCCCGATGCCAAAGCAGCTCCGTGGGCACGTGAGAGCGACCGGCTACAGCAGCCTGTGGGGAGGCCATCGGGAGAGCACAGGCAGGGGAGGCCATGGGCACAGGCACCACAGACAGAGATCTGTCCCCTCGGGCAGGGGTTTATCACAAGAGCTGTGGTGCCTGGCTGCACACAATCTGCGGCTGCTCCCAACGGCACCAAATTCCTGCTCTTTGAACACAAATCTCGCGGCCAGGGATTGTTTTCTGCAGCTCCGGAGCAGGCTCTGACTCGCTCGTCCCAAAACTCACTCGTTTTTCCCAATATCTGGGTGCAGAAGGGCACGTGCTGGCCCTGTGACCACAGCAGACATCGACCAGTCCTAATTGAGTAATTTTTAAGCCCAACTCCTGTTTCAGGGGGAAGGGAGGGGAAAAAGCCCTTTGGATCCTGTCTACTCGTGGGCTCCCGGCCTGAGCACGGCCCAGCCCCTGGGAAAGGTCTGGGGTTTTGGGGGGACCCGATGCCCACCCCGTTTTCTGGATGGAGGGCTCCGAGAGAGCTCCCCGTGGCACGGGCTGGAGGCAGAGGCTGCTCTGGGGATGCATCCCTCGCACCAGAGCCTCGGCTTTCCTCTGCCTGAGGATGCTGACGGGGAAATGTGGGGGTGTCTGGGGCTGAGGATGCTGATGGGGAAATGTGGGGGTGTCTGGGGCTGAGGATGCTGACAGGGAAATGTGGGGGTGTTTGCCAGGAGCCGGTGCCGTGGGGTGCGCACGGTCGGGGTTGTGCTGGTCTGAATGATCTGAGCAGGGAGAAGAAGCGTGGCTGAGCCGTCTGCCCCTGGTTAGGGTAACCCCCAGGTGGTGCCTGAGCTGGCAGCAGTTCTTTCTGCTCATCCCTCTCCTCTGCCTCACCTTCATTTTTGGGAGGAGGCTGCGATTTCTGTCACGTCCCCTCCTCCGCAGCCCCTGCTCTGGCTCTTCCCCTGCAGACACCCAGCCGCTCACCAAGGCACAGGTTCCCTCCTCCTCCTCCTCCTTCCTCTCCTCACCTTCCCCCCAGGAGCCCTGACGCCCCATCTGCTGCCGTGCCAGCCGGTGCCATCGCTCCGTGGGGACCCAGGCACGAGCCAAGGATGGCTCAGACCGGGTTTGCCGAGGACCGGGGATGCAAATGGAGGGGGTTTTGAAGGATGAGGTTTATTGAAGGATGAGGAAGGTTTTTTTGTGAAGGTGTTCACAGCTTCTACTAACGCACTGAGATTTGGGGAGAATTTGCTTATGAGCTACCTCATCTAGTGTTTGGGACGAGACAGACATGGACACGCTTGGCTGTCTTCAGCCCCTGCGAACTCCGGGTGAGATGAGAGCCTTCCACGGGTGCTGGAATCACTGGTGGGCAAGATCTGCGGTGTTCAGCCCCAGAATGATGGGCTGTGTGTGGTGTGGGGCTTTTTATTGTGTCCCTCTCAAGCCATCCCTCTCTGGAGGCATCTCGGCACCTTTTCCTTCATCCTGGGGCTGGCGTGAGCCACCCTGGGGACAAAAACTGGCTGTTTGAGGTGTCGCTCAGGGGGTGGTGGTCCCTGTGCCCCTCGGGGCAGGGGCTGTGGGTGGATAGAGAGGGGCTCTGGAGAAGAGGATGGGCAGGCAGTGGGAGATGGGTGGAGGGAGGATGCCGGGAGCATCGCTGGGCTGGGAAAACGGGGCTGGAAGCACCCATTTCCTTAGCCATCCTCCTGCAGGAGAGGGTCAGCTAGGGCTCCCGATTCCTCCCCGTTCCCGCTCACAGACATTTATCTTTTTGCTGTAGCAGCAGAAATGTCACAGCGACAGCCCATTGCTTCAGGTGGTTTAATATCCGTCCTTCCTGGCATTCTCTGGCCTCCCTGCACATCCATCACTCTGTCAATAAGGATGACTGGGACAAATAAAGCTGCTCTCCCTCCTCCGCCTCGGCTCCGTGGTTTAGGGAGACCCAGCGACTGTTTTTTTGGGCCGCTGGCTCCGAGCTGTCTGCCCCCCAGAACCCAGGGCACCCGTGTCCCTCTCGGGCTCCCCAGGGCCCTGCAGCTTTAGCAGCATCTTCGCTTTGCGTAGTCTGACCTGTGACGTCCAGGTTGAAAAGAGAAGTATCCATGATCCTTCACTTCTCCTTGTCTCTCTTCTTGCCCTTCCTCTGGCCCGTCAGCTCGCTCAGCTTCTTGTCCAGGCGCCGCTGGAGCTGGGCTCTCCTGGCCGGGTCCAGGGCCGTGTCCTTGGAGCCGCTCCCGGGATGGAGAAGCCCTTCCCGGCTGATCCTCTGCCGCGCCTGGGCCCGGGCCCTGTCCCCGCAGCCATGGACCTGCCCGGGGAGAACGGACACTGGGAACGGGGAATCCGGCCGTTTTATTCCCAGAGCCTGGAATTCCACCCGCTTTGCACCCCCCTGAAACCATCTCCTGCTAATTTAGAGCTCCTCTTCCAGGAAACAAAATATAAAGGCGATTTCTCTCCTGCTGGAACCTGCAGAGCAGGTAAATCATCCTTGTGGAGGGTTTAAGTGCTTCCTTCCAAAACTCTGACCCCAGGGAGCTCGGCATCTGCGCAGCCGCGGCGCTCCCGCCTGGGAGCTGGAGCTGGAGCTGGAGCCAAGCTGCCCGTTCTGCTCCCTGCTGGAACTGGGACTGGGGGAAAGGAGAGAAACTGGAAAGGTGAGTCGGGAAATAAGCAGGGACCTTTTTAGCCACATTGCTGCTGCTGGAGTGTAATTAAGTCTGTCTGCTGTATTGGAGTAAGAAAAAGCTTGATAACGCTGATTTTGTGCAGGCAGACCTTCTCCAAACCCCCCGTGCTGAAGCCCAGCCCCTGTTTAAGGTGCGTTGAGCCACACTCAGCATCCCCTGAACCATCTCCCCAGCACTACATTCCAGACCCTAGAAGTTTACCCCTTCTGCTTGGTCCGTCCTGAAGTCATGTGATGTTTTGAGGACCCACAAGCCGATGTGAGGATGGCAGTGACAAACCCTGCTGTCCCCAGCAGCACTGCTGAGCCCGGGGCAGGGGCTGGGAATAGCCCGTGGCTCCTGGCCAGCACGGGGCTTTCTGACCCTGCTGCCCACCTCAACCACCCGGAGCCAACAGACCCCCCGGAGCAGCTCAGAAGCAGGCAGTGGGTGCTGGAGAGGTTGGACATCCTGCAGTGCTGGATGGAGGGGGGGTCAGCAGCTGGGGGCTGCCAAAGAGGGGCATGAGCCCTTTCTGCCCAGGGACCCTCCATACACAGAGGCTCCATCCCCACTGAGATGGCTCAGGTACGTGCTGGCCCCCCCTTAGGGGGCAGGGATGGGCAAGAGGGTCCAGGCTATTTCACACCGAGCCTGAAAACATCTGGAAAAAGGGATAAGCTCTAAAAAGCAAGAAAAACTCAGTGGTGTGGATTTTTATCCTTCCCACTGGAGGTTTCTCATTGGAGCTCTCATTACAATTCAGTGGGGAGAGGCCATTCTGCAGGAAATATAGATTTATATCCCAACTGGACTGTGAATGACCATAAATACAACTATTCTTTGCCATGGAAACAGATAGTACTTGACAAGTGGAAAATCTCTGCCGAGGATTTATAGGTCAGCTCACTAAACGTTGCTAAGCTCCGGGAGGCTCCCTGCAGCGAAGAGCGATGCCTGGGTGACGCGGGATGAGGGACGATGAGGGACGACGGGCGCAGGAGGCTGCAGCTGAAGGGAAAATCATCCATCCCCGAGGCCACCATACCATGGGGCACCCCACTGCCAGCCCTGGAGGCCTGAACTCTCCTGCCTCTCTCTGCGCCCCAGCAAAGAGATGATGCCAGTTTAACCTCAGCTTCCTTCCTTCCCAGATCGGGGCAGGAAAGGGCTGTCAGGCAGCTTTGGCAGAACAGCAAGGAGATCGGGGCAGGAAAGGGCTGTCAGGCAGCTCTGGCAGAACAGCAAGGAATGGAATCACAGGATTGTTTGAGTTGGAAGAGACCTTTCAGATCATCGAGTCCAACCATCAACCCAACAGTGACAAACCCACGTCCCTCAGCACCACGTCTGGCCAGCTTTTAAATCCCTCCAGGGATGACAACTCCACCACTGCCCCGGGCAGCCTCTGCCAAGGCTTGACAGCCCTTGTGGTGAAGAAATTGTTCCTACTGTCCAGACCCACGTCCCTCAGCACCACGTCTGGCCAGCTTTTAAATCCCTCCAGGGACGACAACTCCATCACTGCCCCGGGCAGCCTCTGCCAAGGCTTAACAGCCCTTTTGGTGAAGAAATTGTTCCTACTGTCCAATGTAAAGCTGCTGGTTCAGTGACCATCACACTGCTGCTCCCACGGAGGTGCAGGATTTCACTGAATTTCACTGAATTTCTAGAGTTGGAAGGGACCATAGCGATCATCTAGTCCAACTCCCCTGCTGAAGCAGGATTGCCTAGAGCTAGAGGATGGTGCAGGGCTGCCGAGATGCCTACTCCAGGGTCCTCCACCACAAGCAAGCAGAGAGGAGGAGGAGGAAGGTATCACCCAGGTGCACAAGGGAGCCAACACTGAGGCTGCAGACCATGGAGCTGCTCAGCTCCAAGCCAGTAAAGCACTTCAGGAACCACCTAATTGCTACCCAGCCCACAGCAGCACTGCTCTCTGCTGGCTCCAGCCCTGACTTCTCCCCAGGCTCCAGAGGGAATCGAGCATCCAGGCTCCAGCAAATCACTGCCTCTTCCTTTCTCCTCTCTGCTGTGCTTTATCTGCACAACCCGGGAGTGTAAATGCCAGGGAATGGTGAAGAAGGGCACAAAGCAAGAGGGGAATAAAGACAGAGCCCAGGTGTTAGTGCCCAGCAGCCCTTTCCCCTGCATCTCCACTTCTCCCCAGGCTCCAGAGGGAATCGAGCGTCCAGGCTCCAGCAAATCACTGCCTCTTCCTTTCTCCTCTGCTGTGCTTTATCTGCACAACCTGGGAGTGTAAATGCCAGACAGCAAATCACTGCCTCTTCCTTTCTCCTCTCTGCTGTGCTTTATCTGCACAACCCGGGAGTGTAAATGCCAGGGAATGGTGAAGAAGGGCACAAAGCAAGAGGGGAATAAAGACAGAGCCCAGGTGTTAGTGCCCAGCAGCCCTTTCCCCTGCATCTCCAGCCAAAGCTCTGACAGAGGGTCCTGCCTGGAACGCCTCCCGAGGAAATCCTGCCTGGGGAGCTGGATGGGGAAATTCCCAGGTTAGACCCACGCTGCTCAGCACCTCCTGCTCCTCTCCAGCCCCCAGACAGGCTGCACGGCCCTGTGCTTACCTCTGGGACGTGGTGGCTGAGGCAGAAGCGCCTGTTGCAGAGGTGGCAGAGCTGTCCCAGGGCTGTGACGCTGGCTTTGCAGCGGGGGAAGCCGCAGGTGCTGTCAGCTTTGACGGCCGCAGAGATGAGAGCATCGATGTCCTCCTCTGCCGCGCTGCCCGCTCCGGGCTTCACCGCTGGCTTTCCTGGGGAGAAGGCAGGGGAAGAGACCCGGCCATTTAACCACCTGCTTGGACCTGGAGAATAAACCCAGGCAACCCCCAGCTACAGCCTCGCTGCGTCCAGGGAGTCGCTCTTTGCAGCAACTGGGGTTTCAGTCCCCAGTAAACTCTGCCCCATGCCCAAAGGCACTACTGGGACCCCAAGGCTCCCACCTGCAGCGTGCCTGGGTGCCTCCCTCGGCTCAGAGAGGACTGAGGAAGAGGAAGGGACCACGTCTGGCAGCTCCTGTCTCTATCTTACCCTGCCTCCACATTCAGGAGTCAGCCACCTCCTTCAATGTGGGCCAGGTACCCCTCTCAGCTCCTCTGCCTACGTCTGGGAGCCTACAATCTAACTCCTCAGCCTCTCTCTTCTTGGGAAAGGGTCCCCAAAGGCTTTTCTTTCAACTTAAGAAATGCCTCCAGGCCCCCAAAGCCCTCTCCCCAGCGCTGCAGCCGCCTGCTGCAGGCTCCTGCCAGCTCTCACATCCCTGCAGTGCCAGCATCAGAGCTTTCCCGGAGCCGCATCCCACGCTCCACAGATCCCGAGGCCTGGGGGCAAAACCACGGGGTCTGAAAAGCATCCAGGGAAGAGCATTAATTGTGCTGGTTACAAAGAGAGCGACCTACCTTTGGCTTCGCTTTTGTCTTTTTTCCTGCTGTTGCCCTGAGGGCCGGCTCTGGGCTCCTGAGCCTTCCTCACCTCCTCCTCCCGCAGGGCTTTCTCCCTCTGAACCCTCTCCAGGTGCAGGGTTTTCAGGTCCACTGTCCCTGAGCCCTCGCTGTGTCCCCTGGGCTCGGCGGGGACAGGATTTTCCCCGCTGGGATGCTGAGGAAGGGGGAGCTGCTGGCCAGGGGGAGCGGCGGTGGGGGGCGAAGGCTGGGGAGGCTCTTTCTTGCGAACGCTGATGAACCGGAGCCTGCCCTCCCCGCTGCTGAGGTGCTGCAGCCCCAGCTCCTCTGACATTTGGTGAACCAGCAGCCGGTCGTGAGAACTGAGGGATGGGGGGAAATCCAGCCGCGTCTCACTGCTCTCCAGGAAGGCCACCAGCATGGCCCTGAACCTGTCAGCATCCTCCTTCTTCCCTGGGCTCTCTCCCCCAGGTCCGCTCGTGTCTGGGGAGGAACGCGCCGCTTCTGGCTTCTGACGCTCCGGTTTGGTTCCTCCTGCTTTGGGTTTCCTCCCCGGGGGCGGCTGGGGCTTGGGGCCTGATGGTGGAGGGAGCTTTGTCCCCTGCTGCCGCTCCCCCCGGCCCTCCTGAGCGTAGTTTTGGGGCACGATGCTGTCGAGGTACTCGAAGGCCGTGCGGACCTCCCCATGCTGGCTGAAGTAGTCCACCAGCCTCTTCAGGAAGGCCTGGCTGCTGACGGTGCGGGTGTCACAGATGATGGCCACGTGGCGCCGGGCACGGGTCACCGCTACGTTCATCCGCCGGTCTTCGGCAAGAAAGCCCACCTCACCTGGGAGAGAGAGACCGGGGGCTGAGGGACCTGCTCTCGGCTGGCTCCAGGTCCAGATTTGGCCCAAAGGACTCAGGGGTTGCTGGGCCGAAGGGTGGGAACTGGTGTTTACTGGACTCTGGCCCCTGACTGATGCTGTCACCTCCATCTTTCCACCCCTGAAGCCAGAAGGAGGGCTCCCAGCGGGGCTCCCCGGGCCGGGAGGAGGACGGATGGTGCACGGAGAGGAGGAACATTCTCCTGGGTGGCCCATGACACAAGATCAGGCTGGGACCTGGCAGCAAATGCCGTACGGAGCAACACGGAGAGGCTCACCGTGACAGAAGAGGGACTGCAGGTAAAGCTGTACCCCCGTCCCACACAGCTCCCCCCTGCAGGTAAAGCTGTACCCCCGTCCCACACAGCTCCCCCCATCTGCCCCCAGACCCTGAAGGGGCTGAGAGGAAGGCCCGTTCAGGCGGCGCTGCAGGGTTCGCTCTGCTCCTGGCTCTCTGCTCAGAGAGGAGCCGTAGGAGCCGGCGAGTGCCAGGATGAGTCAGTGAGGATCAGCCAGCCAGAGGGGCAGCGTGGGCGGCCTTGAGCTCCCAGCTCCCGGGGATAAGGAGGGGAAGGAATGAACGTCTCGGCCGGTGCGGGACCAGCCCGGCTCTGGCTCTGCCCTGCCGGGGCTGAGGGGTTTAGTCTGAGCTGCCTTTGAGGGTGCAGGCGATCCCCTCTCCGTGCTCTGCAGCCTGGAGAACCATTTCCAGTTTCTCTGGTGAGGTTTCACCGACTGCAGGGACCAGTCCTTCCTCTCACCCGGCCAGAGGGTTTCCTGCTGCATCGGGACTGGCCGCAGAAGGGACAGGCCCTGCCGGCCGAGGTCCCTGGCCACCTCTGAGCCGAGAAATGCGGCTGTAAAAGGGGTATGGCTTTCTCTCCAGGGTCTCAGAGGGCATTAACACCATCTCCTGTGCCCCGTGCAGAGCAGAGCCGTGCCCAGACACTGGGAGAAGCTGCTTTGTGCCCCCGTGATTCCTGCAAAAGTGATTCCTGCACCGTGCCCGAGCTGAGCACGGGAAAGGGCCGGGGGACACCAGCTCCCACTGAGCAAAAAGGGTGAGTCACTCATGAATAAGGATTATTCTTAGTCCTGTCCCCCACCTCCGTTTTCTCCCCCCAGCGCTGCTGTTCTTGCTCTAGGCTTTCTTAAAAAAAAAAAAACCACCAAAAAAAAGCACCTCCTCCTTCCCTGCCTCCTTCCCCCTGTTCTCCCTCCCAGACATCAGCGCTCCCAGCACACCCAGAGTCTCAGCAGCGGGAGCGCAGGCAGGGATGTGTCTCACCAGGGGTCTGGATGGGGCAGGGATGTGTCTCACCGGGGGTTTGGATGGGGCAGGGACCCACGCTCGGGGAGAGGGGGCTCACGAGGGTCACCCCCCACTCGAGCTGGCACCTCAGCACCTCTCAGATGGGCCAGTGGCTCGGTCGAAGGAGCCTCGTGGCTCCAGGGAGCAGCTTCTTTCCAGCTCTTAACTATCTGCAGCTGCTGATAGCAGAGAAAACTCAATTTTCTGCTCTAGATTTTGTTCCCAAAAGAAGCATTTTCTGTGCCTGACTTGTAACACCGGCTCCTGCTCACTTCCTTTGGGGAAGGGACACAAAATGGGCTCCAAACCCAAGAAACAAGCCTCCCAAATGTTCAGCTCTTGCGGGAAGTGCTCGGCACTCCACTGAACGAGGTGCTCCCCTCACACCTGCCATTCTTGGGACCCCGGGTTAAACCATTTCTGAGGCCTCAACAGCCAGGAAAGCTTCAAACTAAGGAGTCCTGGCTTCCTCTGTGCCTGCTGCCACAGGAGCCTTCCCCTGCAACTGCCACAGCAAATATATCCCTTTGTTAGGAAAAAAAAAAGGCCTTAAAAGGAAGGTTCTTGCCAGCAAATTCATTCAGAGCAAAGTGCTGGGGCCCATCAGAACTGCAATTAAAGCACAGCACTTGGCAGCACGATGAGCAGCCTTGGAGCAGTCCCACAGTTCCCATCTCATTCCCCAGCCCCAACTCTCACCTTTCCTGTTGGATCTCACGAGGGACAGGATCACTGCCTCCTTCTCTCTTCCCTGGAAACCATCAACTGACTTAATTTCTAGCTCTGGGTACCTGTGGCAAAGGTCCTCTCTAAGCATGTCCACCTGGAAAACATGGGATAGATATCTGCTAAAGAAAAGTGCAAGGCCAAAAGGATTAAAATGGCACTGTTTTGGTAAAGTATCTCCCTCTCAGACCCACAGGGTGAGCGCTCACATCTCCCGAAGCTCAGGCACTGACTCCTGGGGCTGGGAGGGAAAACGCCCAGTGGACACCTCTTCCCTCCGTGGCCTCAGGCTGCTGAAATGGGGAGAAGCTGGCCCCAAATTCTGATTATGCAATTTGGCCCTGCTGACTTCCACCTTCATCTCTCCGAGGAGGTTCTGGTATCACTCCCAGAGACATCAAGGTTTGAATCCACCCCTGAGAGCGTGAGGGAAGAGAGAGGAGGTGGCAGGAGCGGGTGGTCTCACCTGGAGGTTGTAGGGGGCTATGACAGCGATGTCCCGTGCCTTCACCCCGGCTTCCACCAGGGCCTGGACGTGCAGATGGGTCAGCTGCACCTCGCCTAGGGCAGAGAGGGGACAGGCAGAGGCTGAAGCCAACAGCTTGGACATGGAGAAATGTGCCCACCTCCCCCTAAGCAGCAAGGACAGGCTGAGGAAGGTCCTGCCTGCGCGCCAGCGTGGCCCAGGGCTGACCATTCCCAGCCTTGGCTCCCACTCCCAGAGCCCCACAGCACCCGTGTCCTGCCCTTCCGAGTCCCCACCTCACTAAAGCTTCAGAAGAGCTTTCTCAAGAGCACTTGCCTTTCCCCGGCCTTCCTCTATTAATCCAAGAGATCAACGATAATCCAGGCAATAGATTATTTTCTCTCTGAAGTCAGACCCTACACCTCACTAAAAATCCAATTCTCCACACTGCAAGGGAAAAAAAACTCCACCTTTCCTTTTTGTTCTGCTTTTTCAAGTCCCCACATTTCTAAATCCCCAGCACCCAATGCAGAAGCTTCACGCTGGGCTCCGTGTGCTCGGAGCTTCAGAGGCTGCGGGCAGCCTGCCCCAAACGGCCTGCTCAGGGGGGTGCTGGGTTCAGAGAGATCAGAGAGGGCAACTTAAATACAAATGTGAACCATTTCACTGGTTTATGGGCTCAACTGACATTACCCTCCGTTCTGCAGAAAAACCTAGTTACAAAAATCCAGCATTTGCAGCATGCTCCACATGCCTCCCAAATTCTGGGAGCCATGTGTTTAATCCCCTGCTTCAAATCCCGGAGTTATCTCGACAAGTCTTTTTGGGTCTTGCTGGGGGACAAGAGCCCTCCTCTGTTCAGCAAGGCCTCAGGGACTGCTGCCTGGAAAAATGATGGGCAATTCAATGCTGGTGGGTTTGAAAAAAGAAAAAAAAAAAGGAAGGCAAAAGATATTTAAACTGGTAAAAAATGTCCTTGTATTTTACAGACCATTTTCCCTGCCTGGGCAGAGACAGGCTTGGAGCCTCATTGCTGGCAGGAGATCTGCACCGGTGAGTGAGAGGAAAACAAATTCACCCCTGATGCAGGCAGCCCCGATGCCAAAGCAGCTCCGTGGGCACGTGAGAGCGACCGGCTACAGCAGCCTGTGGGGAGGCCATCGGGAGAGCACAGGCAGGGGAGGCCATGGGCACAGGCACCACAGACAGAGATCTGTCCCCTCGGGCAGGGGTTTATCACAAGAGCTGTGGTGCCTGGCTGCACACAATCTGCAATGAAACCTATTTTTTAAGTCAGCAAACCGGCAGGAAACTCAATGTCTTAAGAAAACTCATGGAGAAGAGCCGTACAGGACTTCATGGACTGGGCAGAGGACTGGGAGGCAACCCAGAGCCCTGTCTGCAGCCTCTCTAAAAGGGGCTTGTGCCCTGCCTGCCACCATGTGCCCTGCCAGCCTGGGTACAGCACCCATCACAGGGACCCTCCACCCCATTCCAGTCCATGCAGAAACGTCTCTGCAAGGGAACAAGGCAGCCAGCGTGGCCACCCACAAACTGCACATGGTCATCGTGGCCCTGTGGCCACTCTGGTCCCCCGCAGAGTCCTTTCAGCTCGAGGATTTACAGAGGAAATGACCTCCCCAATGATGCTCCCTGGGAACCCCACCTTCCCCCTGCTCTGGAGGGGACACCTCTGGGCCGTGGCTCGGCTGGTGTCAGTGGCCAAGCCCGTGGGAGGCTGAGGACCTCAGACAATCCATTCCTGCCAACAGAATTACCCGAACAGCAGTACCTGGGTTCCCCTTGGACTGCTCATCTTCCACGTCCAGCTCCAAGAGGCCGCAGCCAGCAGTGTCTATCAGCAACAGGGGGATTGTCGTCTCTTCCGTAGAGGTGACGCCCGGCAGGTCCCTGCACAAGGTATGTGGGAAAGGCCTGGTTAACCAGGCTGGAATGATGCCACAGGGCTGCTCAGCTGTGTTGTTGCTTACTCCTCCCAACAGCACTGCAGGGAGAGAGGGCAAGCAGCTGGATACTGGATACTGCTCCCGAGGGACCAGCCTAGGGACCAGCAGTGGTGTCCTGTGGGGCGAGACACGGGAAGGCTCTGGGGGTGGTGAAGAACAACAGAAGCTGAGAGCTGAGATTCCCATCTTTCTGCCCCACCGAGCTCTGGTCCCCCATCTGCAGTGATGCTACTGAAGAGTGTGTCCTGCAGAGTGAGAACTGAGCAGGGTCCTTCACCCCTGGTGGGCTCCTCTGGCGTTCAGCGCCAGCTTCTGGGGTCTGTGCAAGGAGAGCAGCCATGGCCAGCAGCACAGCCCCTGGTGGGCTCCTCTGGCGTTCAGCGCCAGCTTCTGCGGTCTGTGCAAGGAGAGCAGCCACGGCCAGCAGCACAGCAGGTCCCCAGGGGCCCGGGGCAGTCTGGAAATGCCAGAAAGCCTTTGCTGAAAGAGCCATTAGTGCTCTGCACCATGGGATTGTCACTTGAATGCTCTCCCAAAATTACAACCAAAGAGCTGAGGGCCCTGGAGAGTTTCAGAGGGGCCAGTGAGTGTAGGGCGTGTGGGTGTTCAGTGTCTCACAGAAATGGTCTCAGACAGGAAAGCTGTGCAGACCCAGGGAGATGTGCCAGCTGCTTTCTGGTTTTTACGGCGTGGAGCAGGGGAAGGGGAGCCTGAAGTATTCCCAGAGATTTGACAGCAGCGCTGTCGGGCAGGAGAAGAAAGCGCAGCCCAAGGAACCACAGAGGAATTGGGTTTTCACATCATTCCTACATCTAAAGCTGCTGCATTCAAAAAATATTAATAAGCCGTATTTTAATACCCAAGGAAGTTGCTGAATTCCCAGCCTAGGAAGAGGATGGGCGATGCAGGGCAGGAAGGGAATGCCTGGAGATGGCAGGAGAGCTCTGGCACAAGGACACGTCACTGTACATCATGTACAAATCAGAGAGCTGGGTCTCCAGAGAGTCTGCAAACAAGCAAGGCAGATGGCGAGCCATCAGCGAGGAGGATTTCCTTCCAAGTGACAGGCAGGGGAGTGAGGGCAGAGGCAGTTCCCAGCTGAAGAGAAGCCCCTGCTGCAGCCTCTCCTCCCCAGGACTTGGGCACCACATGGAGATGCTGCTCCTCGGCATCTGTACGGCACCGACCGCCCCTCCTTCCTGCAGAGAATGGACATCACTCACTCCACTGACAGAAAAGTCTCCTCTCCTGGCTGAAACTCCTTTTCCTCCTGTGTGAAGCTATTGCTGCTGGAATGCAGGGCAGGGAGATCACTGACAGGGAGACAGCCCAGTGAGGGAGCATGGGATGCACCTTCCCCAGTTCCATGGCCAAGGGGAGCCCAAAGGAAGAGCTCTGCTTCCTCCAGCTTTGGGACAGGCTCCTTGCGCCCAGCGACGGGATTCAGAGGCACGAGGTACCTGCCCCATTCCAAGGACTGCAGGGACCTGCAACCAGCTTTGCTTTCCATGATCTCCTCTAGAACGGGGTCACCTCCAGCTCCCCGTTAGTGTTCCCCCCCGGGAAGGGCACGACAGGCTCATCTCCCTCTCCTTGTAACACCAAACCCAGGAGGCTTCCCATCTCCTGTCAGTGGTTGTCCTGCCACTGTCCACATCTGTGCAGACAGGAGACACTGTGCAAAAGCCAAGTTCCCCAGGTAAGTAATCCCCATTCCTTGCCTACTGGCAGTGGCCAGGGAAAGCCCTTTCTCCTGTCAGTGGTTGTCCTGCCACTGTCCTGCCACTGTCCACGTCTGTGCAGACAGCAGACATTGTGCAAAAGCCAAGCTCCCCAGGTAGATAATCCCCATTTGTTGCCTGCTGGCAGTGGCCAGGGAAAGCCCTCGCAGCATCTCTCAGTGCCAGGGAAAAGCTCATTCCCAGGAATACGCTTCAGAGGAGGAATTGTCTACATCACCGGGTCAGGTGAGAGAAGAATTCATGCTCTTCAGTGAGACTGCAGCAGAACTGGCCGTCACCTTGGAGAAAAGCTGCCCAGTGCTTTGCTGTCCCTGCAGGGATAGGGGACAGGGACTTCTCCCACCCGCTGTGGACCAGCCCAAGCTGCAGAGATGGGGTTTGGTCCTGGAGAGACTCTTGGTGTGTGATGACAACCCTGGTTGTCCCTGCGGCTGGACACTGGATCCAGGTTCTCTGCAGTGCCCTGGGACACCCCCAGCTCCTCCGGGAGGAGCTGATCTGGGCTGGGTGAGCTGGACATGGCAGCCGAGGAGCATCCCGGCCTCTCAGCGTCTCCCAGGTCTCACACCGCTGGGGGACTCCCCCCCAGCATTCCCCAGCACTGAGGGGGTGTGAGCCCAAAAACACGTGCTCAGAGAAGGGGCAGCTGAGACTGTGCTTCGATAAAAACCGGCAGCAGAAACGGCTGGTGGTTTTCGAACCACCTTCTCCTTGGCTGAGTCACAAATTGTGACTGTGGAAAGCTCTGCTGGCAGCCCCCCCGCCTGAATTCTGTGATGGGGGGGTTCTGATGTGCTTCGTCACCCACCGCAGAGGGAAGGGAGATTTGGGAAGAAGGTTTTGCTCCCTTGGAAATACTCTGTCCCAGAAAGATACCGTAGGAAACCAACGTTTCCTTTTTTTGAGAAAAGATGGTGCTGCAGAAGCCTCTGACAGACCCCAGAGCAAGATTCCTGAGTGTCCCCCAGGTCAGAGCAGGAGTTGGGAAGGAAATACGGGGCTGTTGGGAGCAGAACTGCAACTTCTCAATCGGTTTCCTATTTTAATGATTTCAAACCATTTTGCCTGGGGTTCTTCTCTAGTTGCTATTTTTAATTTGCAAATTTAAATGGAAAAAAAGAGAAAAAAAGCATGGCAAGGAACAAGAACAATCAAGGAGCGTGTTTCCTGGAGTTAGCTCCGAAGAGCTGAAGGATCTCACCCAGCTCAGCCGAGCTCCTGCCGGCAGCGAGGAACCGGCCCTGCCTGCTCTCACCTACAGGTGCAGGGAATCGCACACGTGTACACACACGTGTACACACGCGTGTGCATGGACAAGGCAGGAGCCAGCCCAGCCCCACTGGTGAATGTTGAACCGAAGCCGTAACGGGAGGGCAGAGGAGCCCTCTCAAACACAACCCTTGCTCTTCCCAGCCGGGTCGTGTTCACGCTCTTCACAAGATTATTTTGAAAGAAGTGCGATAAAAAAACGGCCTCTCTAGCTATCTCTGTCCCAAACTGGATGTTCTGTGAGGTGGAGAGATTCTATGGGAATTTCAATTTTTCTGACTCCTAAATATTTGCGTTTAAGAAAAAGCATTGCTAAAAATCGCAGAGCGCCGCGCAGCCCAGCGCTGGGGTATTTCACACTCTCCAAGTCCAACAGAGAGAATGAATGTTTTCCCACCCAGAACTGCACCCACTGCAGGCTGTAGAAGCTCCAATTATTGGCAGTGGCAGCGTGTGCTGGCAAACAGCCTGCTGTCCTGGGCATGGGAGTGAAATGCAGCCGTTTCCTTGGCTGGGAAGGAGAGGGAAACCACTGCAGGCAGGGAACGGACCCGATGCCTCGGACCTGCCTCGGGGGCTGTCCCGGCTGTGAAACCACCCAAAGGAATCTCACTTTCTGGTCTCTCTGGTGTTGGGACCAGAGACGGGGCACACCCTGGTCCTTCTATTCACGTGGACGTGTGGAAACACAATAAAGGACGGTGTCTGGGTGTCTGCCTCAGCAAGGGCCCGAGACAGAGAGACGCTGCAGGTCAGGCTCCAGAAGTCTCACCAAGGGATTTCATTTTGTTCCTCATCATTCCAATGGAGGAGACGGAAGATAACTCCCCGGGACTTCTTGTTACACAGGCAAAAGGACAACCCCCTGCCCCCAAATTAATGTTTCCTTAATGAAATAAAGGATGAAACAGCAGCGCTATGACAGGGCCAGGAGGAATGGAAAACTCCATGGCAGGGAAGGACAAACCCCAGAGGCAGTGGGAGGGAGAAGACACCCCTGCCCAGGTACCAGAGGGTCACTCACCTGAGCAAGTGCTGTGCCACGGAGGGGTGTGCAGCGAGCCGGCCGCCGTACAGCTCCTCGGACGCCCACTGCATGATGGCCTGGTGCATGCGGTACTGCACCCTCAGCATCCTCACCACCTGCTCCCCGTAGCCCTCGATGAGACGCTCCATCAGGCTGAGGGAAAGGCCCTTGGCAGCAGCCCTGTGGGGGAACAGCGAGTCAGGAGTGGGGTCTGGGTGTCTGAGGTGAAGGGATGATCTAAGGGACGGACGTGACCCTCTTTGGACTAAAGAATCAATCAGCATCTCGCTGCAGGTCCAGCCCAGCACTGCTGCTGGAACTGATCACTGGTGATCAATGCTATGGGGTGATGCGCTGTGGGAGCACCTGCAATACCTGCCCTGGCCCCTGCTCAGCATCATAGAATCACATGGGGTTGGAAGGGACCTCTGGAGATCATCTAGTCCAGCCCCCTGCCAAAGCGGGTCCACCCAGAGCAGGTCCCACAGGAACGTGTCCAGGTGGGTTTGAATGTCTCCAGAGAAGGAGACTCCACCGCCTCTCCTGGGCAGCCTCTGCCAGGGCTCTGCCACCCTCACAGGAAAGAAGTTCCTCCTCATGTTTAGGTGGAACAACTTATACTCAAGTTTGTGCCCATTTCCTCTTGTCCTGTCCCTGGGCACCACTGAAAAAAAGACCAGCCCCATCCTGACACCCTCCCTTTCAGTATTTGTAGGATTGATTTGTATGCATCCTCCTGCGCTCTGCAGGGATGGTGTTATCTCCCTGGCCTCCTTATCTCCCTGGCCTCGCATTATCTCCCTGACCTCCCACTGTTTCCCTTGGGTACCAGCAGCTGGTGGAAAGGGAGCAGGAGAAGGCTGCGGGGTCCCAAGCGTTCTTTCTGAGCAGAGGGTCCCCAAGAGGGTGGAGACCCTCAGGGACAGACCTCTGCCTTGCAGAGAGGTCAGATGGGTCGAGCATGTGGGGGTGGGGAGATGCCCACTCCCCTTTCCCCGCAGGAAACGCCCAGGGGGTCAGCACCACCACACAAGAGATGCAGATGGTACCAACCATCCCTGCCTGAGCCTCCCACCCAGCTCTGCTCAGTGGGGTTGGGAGGAGATGAGTGAGGATGCCCAGGACCTCTGCTCGGGGAAATAGCCCCGGAACACAGCCCTCTGCACCTGTGAGCTCACCCCCTCGACACCCGCAGTCTCACTGCTCTCAGTGAGCTCCAGACAGCGATCCATCGGTGTAACACGGCCCTCGTGTCACTGCAGGCTGAGCACGGCCATCCCCCGACACACCAGTGTCACGGTGCCAGCCCCGCTGCTGTCTCACCCAGACACCGGCCGCTCCGCACCCTCCTCGGCCGCTCGCCCCACACTAATGCACTTCAGCACCCGGTGCTTTATTGCCCATTAAGAAAATCAACACTCCGTCGCTGCTGGCAAAGGTGCTGCACTTGGATCTGCGACACAAATTAATAAAGCTCCTAATGAAATAAGCCTTTCAGGAGCCTAATTGCTTTCTCTTCGCCGCACAGAAAGGGTTTGTCAGCAGCACAGCCTCGCGGTGCCGTCTGAGGAAGAAGGACAAGAATCCTTGTACTTTGTGTTTTTGAGCATTTCAGAGCACAAAGGGTTTTTTCATGCTGTGTGCCCGGCGCCTTGTACGACGCTGGGGCTCCTGGCGAGGGGGTCTGGGCCACCAGCACACAAAGAACAAGCACAAAGATGATAAAACTATGACAGAGAAGGGCTGGGGTAGGTGATTTCTGTGGAGGCAGAGGGGCACAGCACGTACCCGGTCACTGCCCCGGGAGGTGAGCACCCAGTGAGCTGCCCCGGCCAGTCCCACCAACAGGGCACTCCCTCAACACAACCAGGGACCACAAACTCATTAAAACTGCAGAAGAAAAAAGTGAGGGTAGGTCTTTCCGAGAAGGCGAGTCTCACCAGCCCTCCTGCCTGCTCAATCACAGCCGTGGGACGTGGAGATGGTGCAGCCTTTCCCAAGGCTGCTGTAACAGCCAGGAGGGCTGGCAGGGCTGCAGGAACGACACGGTGCTTTATGCAGCAGAGGTTTCCAGCCGTGCTGAGGGTTTGCTGCTGCTCAGGGGCCACCCCAAGGTTGGTCACGGAGCCTTTACAGCCCCCCGTGTCTTTAGGGGTCCTTGTGCTCCCCATGAGAGCAGAGGAGAAATGAGGGGGGTGGGTGAAAGAGGAGCCTGGGCTCCCGGGAGGGGAAGGGGATCAGCTGGGGTGAGGGGAGAGAGCAGGACGTGGGCCTGGGGAGCACATTCCCCTCGTCAGGAATTGTCTTGTCTCCTCCCAGGCTGACAATGGAATGAGCAGGCACTGACAGCCCGACCTCCCAGCTCTGCTCTGCCCCATGGTGAGCTGACAAGCAGCCTGGTCTCCTGTCACCAAGATAATGCTTCTGGTCCCGTCCACCAGCCACCTCCTTCCGACAGGCTAATGAGAAAGCAGATGACATAGTGAGGCACCCATGGGTGAGCTGGCTCTCGGGGCCACCATGAGGCTTTAATTGCCCTGACCAGCCTCACCTGGGACCCACACCCTCTGCCCATTTAAGCTCAGCACTGGCCCTACAGCTCCTTCCTGAGCTACATCCTAGCTCTGTCTCCTGGGTGGAGAGCTCTATGAACCTTGGACCTGTGCTGCAGCTCACTGATCCTGTCTTTACCTGTATCTTCTAGATGGATCCTGGACTCATGTCGTGGCTTTGTTTCTAGCCCACCTCCTGATGGGACCCCGGGAAGGACCCTGGACCTGGTTCACAGCTTGATGGAGCTGTTGATGAGCCCCGTTACCAGCCCTTTGCTCTGCTCTGGCCCCGTGGGGCTGTGTCCTGCTGGCAATGACACTGTTCCTGGCCTTTGCAGCTGCCAGAAGCTGTGGAAGTCACATCAGGAAACTCAGGTGAGACATGAGGGATACCCAAATGAAAGGCTCTCAAAGCCTGAGCAGCCCCACCAGCCAGAGGTCTCTCCCCTTTGCTTCACTCCCCTCTCTTGGCTCACAAATTCTTGCAAATCTGAAGACGAGCCCTAAAGCTGATTTTTCATGCAGAACTGGCAATAAAACCCTGCTGTTTTTTAACAACAAATATTCTGAAGTGTTTCTTGTAATGACATACACTAAAGCACGGGGGAGGCATTAAACCTCACAGCAAGCCTCAGAAACAGTGCTCTCCTATATGCTATCAGCGCTGCTGCCACCGCAGGGATCGACACGGGGCCGTATGGTGAATTAATAATGAGGATATTAAACTGCTTGTGAATATTTCACCTGTTAATAAATTTCCTATTATTTTACTGCTCAGTTAATTGCTACAATGGTTGATTTCTATGCCAACAGAATCATAAGAGCACCGAGCAAAAGCTTTTTAAGTATCAATTGCTGTAGAGAAATTAAATTGGGACAGGAGGGCGGACAGGCAGCATCATGCATGGTGCTGAGGAGTACCTACTCGAAAGTCAAGCTAGGAAAGCTAAAATTACCAGAATAAGTAAGAGCAGCCAGTACTTGCTGCTAACCTGGTTTCACCTTGCTTCACGTGCAGGAAAAGGCTGTACTTTGCTTGAAACACGCTCCCGGGGCAGGGAGGTGGGTACCAGGATGGATCCCAGAGAGGGAGGATGAGGCCCTGCTGCTCTTCCCAGGTGAGGCTCCCTCCCCAGCCCTGGGAAGAGATGTATAGCGTATATACATTAACAGTGATAGCTCCAGCCAAGTGGAACCAAAGATTTCACAGGCTTTTGTGCCCACTGTGGTGTGAAATATCCTTTCTGGCCTGGTGTGAGCAGGCAGCCTGGCGTGGGGCTGTCAGGAACCAGCAGTGCGAGGGGGAACAAAGGGGACATGCTTCCTGTGGAGGGATGGAGTTGTGTCCTCAGTCGGGTTAGAGCTTCTCTTATTCATGCTCTGGAAAGCTGGTCTGCTCCCTAAGGGACAGAAGGAGACGTTGGTGTGACTCTGATCTCTAGTGCACACCATGGAATTCGGACAGCAGTGTCCCCAGAAGGATGTCACTGTGTTTTCCTCCCTGAGGAAGTCCACACTAAGCTCCTGCATGGAAAAAAAAAGGCTGATGTGGGCATGCAAAGCATCAGCTGGGCTCTGCTCTGTGCCCTGGGCTTTTCTGCCCTGGGACAGGCTGAAGAGGTTTCACAAACGGGTAAAGAAGCAGTTGTGAGGCTGTGCAGAACTCCCCTTTCCCTGGATGTTGTGGGTTTGTTTTAATCCTTGTAAATCTGATGGAGGAGGAGGAGGAGGAGGGCGGCTTGTTCTTTCCAGCTGTGGAGGCCATCGAAGAAAACCAAGGTCTGGCACTTGGTCTTTGGTGAGAAAAAAGCAGATCTGTTTGGAGCTGATGGGCAATCAGGAAAAGGCTGCCGCTGGGGGACCTGTGTGTGGCTGTGGGGTGGTGGAGACATCCCAACTGACCACTGACAGACAGGATGGCAAAATACTCCTGTGCTGAGGAACCAGCTGAGGGCAAGGGGCCTGACAATGATCTGCAGAAATCTGGGGAGTGTAAAAACAAATTAATAAATCAAAGCCCTGATGTGGAGACAAATTAATTGGGATGTCAGGAAAGGATGGAACGAGGACTAAAATGAAAACAGGGAAAATAAATGCTCCTGTCAGACAGCAGAAAGCGTCCTGGCATGGAGATGGCCCCTGGGACCAGGCCAACCCCCAGCAGGAAGCTGGAAGCCGATGTCCAGGAGCTGCCAAGAAGGGAATGGTGTGGGACTGGCACTGCCATCGCTGGGAGGCCCTTCAGAAGCAACCCTTCCAGCCTGGAAGAGATGTGGGTCGGTGTGTGAGGTGTGTAGGGATGCCCTCTGCCTCCTGAGGGAACTCCAGGTAGTTGAAAAGGAAGTAAGAGGAGCAACCTTCAGCCTTCAAAACTCCCTCAGCCTCAAATGGATAAGGGCTAATAGTAATAACTGATAAATGCTGAGCCCATGGAGGAAGAGGAAGATGAGAAGAAGGTGGCTCTACCAGAAAGGGCTGGCTCCCTCAGTGGAGAAAGGGCTGTGAGGCAGCCCAGTTGCCTGCTCCTGCCTGCAGGATGGTTCCTACCGGAGCCAAAGCATTCCTCGGCCACAGAGCTCCCCGCAGGACCCACGGGGAGTCACAGCCCCTCCTCCTGCCAGCCCAGATCCACCCCGGCCAACGCTGAGGCCCCCAAAATAGGAGCCCACCCACCTCAGGGCTGCTGCCATCAATGAGGAGAAGGGGGAGGTGGGCGGAAGGGTTTGACTCCTCTGGATGAATCATCCCTGGAAATAGCTTATGGCTTTCCATTAAGCAAAGAGGAGCCGGCAGGTGATTCGGTGCCTTAATTAGATCTCTGGAGATACGGCACAGGGTGGAGGGAGAGGGAATCTGCCTTTGTGCTGTGTCTGGCAGCCCCTGGAGACCCCGAGAAGCACAGAGCGGTGCTCTCTGGCCTCAGCTGGATTTGCAGGGTGCAGGGGGACGGTGCTGCAGAGAGGAGAGCTCTGGATGTGCCACCTTCCATAAAGAGAATGTTTCTGCTGGGGCAGCAATTAACAACATGGGCAGAGTTCAGATCTGTAACACAACGAGCTAATGATTTTCAAAGGTGTTTATCTGAAATGTAATTGGATTTCTCAAGATAAGTTGTTCTAATTGATCAAAATTTGTTAGCTTTTGCATTTAATTAGGAGGCTCCTGAGGCAAATGCTGTCAGCTGCTCCAGCTGGACCTCACTGCACAGCTTCTCCAGCACAGGCTGCTTGGGGGGGTTCACTGACAGCAAGGGAGCCTGAAAGAAAGAAACTCCTTCCCTTCAGCATCAGACAGTTTTGCTTTCTGTCCAGATAAAACATGGGAGGGAGATGCTGGGCATCTGGAAAGAGGAGAGGGAGGTTTTGCTGTTCCCAAGCAGAGGCTGGGACTGGAGGGGAAGACCCCAGCTGAGAACCTGCCTGATGAGCATCCCATTCCTGTTCCACCTCTGTGTGCACAGCCAGCACCTGCCACAGCACCCATCTGCAATTACTGCCTGTGGGGCTGCTGCCAAGGGCCCTGCTGAGATGAGAGGTAAAGCCATAAACAGCTCAAACAGCTTTATTTTTCCACTTGTTTCTCTGCATTCTCAGTCCTGCAAGAGGGATCCACCCGAGCAAGGGGCAAAGCTTGAAAACACCCAATTGAGAATAATTTTCCTTAACAAGATGCCAGCCTCAAGCAGTGAGGGGAAAGAGAGGGAAGATGGACCCTCAGAAAACGCCAGGCTCTGGAGACTGGTGGCTTCTCTGACCAGCGCCTGATGCCTTGAGCAATAATTTTGTTTGATGTAGCAAGTTTTTGGAACATAATTTACTGGTAAGCCAGGCTGAGAGATAAATCTGTTAACAAGACTGATTCATTGCTCTATTTTAAACCTATTGAACTTTGGGAAGGGCACAGAGTGACACAGGGTTTGAACATCCCTGAGGTTTTTTGCCCCAAAGGGATTACCCACGGGAGACGGGAGCTGAGCTACCAACGGACCTCCCTGTGCTGCTGGTCACCCCACTGAGGCTGAAGAGCCAGAAGATCTGACTTCTACCCTCACTCACTCTTAATTTCACAAAGGCCAGTTCTTTGTGCAGCTGGGATCTTCAAAACATGGAAAGAAAACGTGCAAAGGGCACAATAAAACTGTCAAGCTCTTGTTAAAGAAAACCAGTGGAAAGAGCAAGGACAAACAGCTTGGTCTGACTCACGCCCACAGGATCCAAGGAGCAAAACAGGGTTTGTGAGGGAGAAAGAGGATGTTCTGACCCCCTGTGACCAAGGAGAGATGCCAACCAGGGGCAGTTTTCCACTGCAAAGTCCAATGAACTCAAAAGTGAGGGAGAGAAAAGCACAGCTCCTCGAGCAGGAGGAGATGCAGGAAAGGGGCCCTGGAGAGGCTGCTTTGGCAGGTCCCTGGCCCAGAAACCCCCACCAGCCAGAGGAGGAGAGCGCTGGTCCCCAGCTGAGGTCTGCAGAACAATAACCATCCGTGTGGCTGATAAGGGTAAAATGAGGAGATAATACAGTGCCTTAATGTTATTTGCATCATCTCTCAGCCGTGAGCCGCTGCCTCCCCTGGATTTCTCATTTCCCTTCTTCAGAATTCAAGTGAGATCATAGATAGGATGCTCATTATGTTTTCGGAAGCAGGAGAGAACGTTTCTGGAGTCAGAGCTATTCCTCTGCTGCTGCACAACAGCGGCTCAGTCATTCTGGATCCAGACCCTGATAAACACATATATCTATATTTTTCCCTACCCGCAGGCTCCCCAGTACCACTCGGAGTATCCCCCTCCAGGCACAGGCAATTCACACTGGCCACAGGTCTCTTCCACAAACTAATTGGTCTTAATGAGGTTTTATAAGCACACAATATGGTGTGTGTGATAACGCGCTGCAGCATCTCGCTGGGCAGCTCCCACGGCAACGTGTTAAATAAGGAGATGTGGAACCTCAGGAGCAGAATTCAATAAATGGAAGGCAAGACTTGGTAAAACTGAGCACAAGCCTGAACTCACTCTCCAGAGCCTGCAGTCGGCAAAGGGGAGGTAAACCAGGTCAGGCACGGGGAAACCTTGTGTAGAAAAACAGATTATCTTTCTTAAAAACAAACATTTAAAGTTTATATATAAATACTGGTCAGTGAAACCAGAATTTGTGTCTCTGTTTTGTTCATTTCACTAGTTTGAATGATCCTAAAGGTCCTTTCCAACCTAGACGGTTCCACGTGATTGTTTTAAATTGTTGGTTTTTTTGAACAACTTTTCTAACCAGCCTGGAAATTGCTCTGTGTGACAGAGAGAAAGCGAAGAATTCAAACACAGTGCTGTCAAGCAAGAGGAATCCAAAAACTGTCTCTGCTGAAGGTATGTCTCTCGGGAAGAACATCTGTTAAAATGTATGTAATTTTGAGTAACCCAAGAGGAGCACATGGCAAGGATGAGCGTGAGGATGGCGAGGATGAGTATGGGGAGGAAGCACATGAGGAGGAGCGGCTGAGGGAGCTGGGGGTGTTCAGCCTGGAGAAAAGGAGGCTTAGGGGAGACTTTCTCGCTCTCTCCAACTCCCTGAAAGGAGGGTGTAGCCAGGGGGGTCGGTCTCTTCTCCCAAGGAACAGGTGATGGGACAAGAGGGAATGGCCTCAAGTTGCACCAGGGGAGGTTTAAGATGAAGATTGGGAAAGATTTCTCCACTGAAAGGGCTGTCAAGCCTTGGCAGAGGCTGCCCAGGGCCGTGCTGGAGTCCCCATCCCTGGAGGGATTTCAAAGCCAGGCAGACGTGGTGCTGAGGGACATGGGTCAGAGGTGGCTTTGTCACTGTTGGGTTGATGGTTGGACTCGATGGTCTTGAAAGGTCCCTCCCAACCCAGGCAATTTTGTGGTTCTCTTCTCTGACTCTAAGAAAGCCTGCTCAGATAGGGTGCATTAAACTTTAAGCAGTGGGTATCAGTGAGACAGGTCTGATGTGACTCTGGCAGCGTGACCAAACCCAACTGATGGGGAGCACCAACAAACAACCCCCAGCAGTGAAACATCTCAATGTCTGAGGCATTCGGAAGCTTTTGGCTGCATCAATAAGGGACCGCGAAGCGCTCCTTACTTGTGGGAGATGATGGTGGGGGGGAGCTGCTTGTGATCCCCAGCCAGGACACACTTGGGGGCCCTGAGCAGAGGCACCCAGCAGCTGGCCTCCAGCGCCTGCGCACACTCGTCGATCACCACCAGACCGAAGTGCTCCTCGGGAAGCAGCTTCAGCGGGCCCTCTGAGGATGCACCTAGGGAAAGGAGAGGGTGCACGGCTCAGCAGGGGCACAGCAGGGGAGCACCCTGGTTTTAAACAAAGCACACACACCTTGGGATTGAGGGAGGCAGGAAAAGTAATGTTTCTTTGCAGAGATTCGGAAACTCGGCTCTGTGGCCCATGCCAGATCCACAGACATCTGTATGTGTCAGAAGTGGGTTTTGCCAATTCCTGTTTGTCCTTTTTTCCCCGGCATCTGGGCCCAAAAGCTTCCAAGTATCTTTGAAACCCGCGGTGAAGCCAAGATGACACACGGAGCAATATGCTCGGATGCCTCACCCAGAGCAGGAGCAGAGCAAAAGCACTAAGGAACACCCACCTCCCGTCCAACCCCGAAGGCAAACAAAGCTTCTCTCCAACCGAAAGATGGGGGGGAGGTTCACCTCCTCTGAGGCACCCAGGGACACCCCCAGGGAAGGACTGGTGGAGCCCCTGCCCTGCAGACCCCCGCCGTGCTGCTGCCTCCTCCCCGGGGGCAGCGGGAGAAGGGAAGGCAGGGGAGACCCATCAGACAGCCATGGCAAGGACAAGCCTTTCCCATCTGTAACCTCAGCCAAATAACCCTCACACAGAACCGACAGTGACCCACACACCCACTGCAGCTCCGAATTCCAGAGGCATCCAAATGTCACTGCACTTCATCAGGACCAGGGATGCAAAGGGAGGAGAGGAGGATCAAGCAGCCACGTGCCAGACATGGAGAATTTTATTCCCCGTGTTCACAGACATGTTTTCTCACAAGCCCCTGTGCTATTGCAGCAAAAGCAGCTCTGATTAGGGGTGACTTTGCTTTGCCACAGTAAATCCTGCTGCCTCTCCAGCTCTGCATCAGCTCAGAAATCACAGTTTGTCAACTCAGACAGCTTGTTTTCCTTAAAAAAAATTGTTTCCAGTTTATATGAATCCACCCTGGTAACACGGGGCATACAGTCTGCAATTTTGCCATGTCGAAGGTGAAAGGAGAAGAAATAAGTAGAAAGGTCCTCTCTCTCTAAAACTGAGTGCACCGAGGTGGAGGCAGATGGATTTCTTCCCTTACAGCTCAACCTGAGTTTATTGAACTGCCATTAACTAAAGGTCACTGGTGTCCCTGTGCGTTGCCATGATTAAATAAATCCTCTCTCCGCTGAGCCTAGCAACAGAGCACTTTGGCTTGCATAAATAATAATTCCCATCAAACTACATGGTTTCAGACTAATATCAAGATTGCTTAACTCGGGAAAACACAAAATCCACCTCCTTTGTCCACCCCGTTTCTCTGCAGCAGAGCTGCACAGAGCTCCACACTGGCCCCAGCGTCACAGGAGAAAATCAGTGACTGATCAGTGCAACAGCCAGCAGAAAATACCACTTTTACTGAAAAAAGGAAACCTCCCCCTCTTTTGCTGGGCAGAGTAAAAAGAAGCGAGAGGCCAATTCCCAGCAGCTAATGCACTGGAAGGATCTACCTTCCCTTTAGCCTTCACACAGTAGCTTGTAAATGCCCTGTGAAGTTCTTTATGACCTAAAATTATTGATGTTTCACTGCAGCAAATAATCCCTGAGCAATCAAACCCAAAGATTATACACGGAGTAGGATCCACCTGCTGTAGGAAAGCGCTTTAGCGGGTGTTAAACTTGAAGCAGTTGTGCTCCCCTGGGGTGGCAGGGCATCCCCCCCTGTGTGCGGAGGAGCTGTGTACACGTGCTGCTGGATGGGAACCTGGAGCCCTTCCCAACATCCCACATCCTCTCCACCACTTGGGAGAGGCACAGAACCACCCAAACACGTGGGGGCTGGGACCAGGATAGGGGAACACGTGCTGTATTCCATCAGTCGTGGCAACTATCCAAGCAGGAAAGCAATTCCCTGTGACTGCTGAAATCAATAAGCAGATTGCACACCTCCACTAGCGCTTGTTTACGCTCAGCTCCTGCGCAGAGCTAAGGGAGATGGGCAGGCTGGCTCCCACCACCTCCTAGACCCGTGCTCTTTGATAAACAACAAGATGAGGTGCCAGAGCTTGAGCAGGGAGGACGCTGCTGTGCGCAGCAAACGCGACCCAACTCCCAGGAGCCCAGGAGTAAGTCTCCCTCCTGTCCCAGCAGGACGCTGCCTCCCAGGGCACAGGATTTTTGTGAGTCCTGGCAAGTGAGGTGAAATACCACAAAGAAGAAGATCTGGCACCTGTGTTTGTAGCAAGGACGACGCTGGCGTGGGTGAGGGCTGCAACCATGGCCGTCTCCTCTCGTTCTTTCAGCTCCTTTCTCAGTGCCTTAATCTCACTGAGAAAATGGCTCCGCTCTCCCTTGTCCTGAGCCTTTTTGCTTTTTGCCTACAAGATAGAAAAATCAAGATAGAACAAACTGTTTCTAGTCCTCGGGATACGTTCAGCTTCTCCCATAACCAAAGAACCCAGGTACAGCGTGGCTTTTCCGTGTCCACATGGAACCCTGGCTCATCACAATCAGCCCCATGAAACCCGGACTTCTCTTCCCTCCCCCTGCCAGGAAATCCCCTCCACCATCAGTGTTGCCCGAAGCACACGGAGTATTTCTGTCTGTGCAAGAGATGAACTGCATCAACACAACCCCTGGCTCTGAGCATGAGGCAGCACAATGAGACTGTTGCTGCCCCTCGGAGCACCGGGAGTAACCCCAGGGCTCGGGCAGCGATGGCTCAGTCGGTCCAGGCTGAAACTCCTCGGGCTGCACCTTTGGACAGTCTTGAATTGTCAGCAGAGTGGTGAATCACAGAATCACAGAATGGTTTGGGTGGGAAGGGACCTTAAAGCCCCCCCAGTGCCACCCCCTGCCCTGGGCAGGGACACCTCCCACCAGCCCAGGTTGCTCCAAGCCCCCTCCAACCTGCCCTTGAACCCCTCCAGGGATGGGGCAGCCACAGCTTCTCGGGGCAACCTGGGCCAGGCTCTCACCACCCTCACACCAAACAAGTTCTGCCCCACATCTCAGCTCCATCTCCCCTCTTTCAGGGTCAAACCCTTCCCCCTCCTCCTAGGGCTCCCCTCCCTCATCCAGAGTCCCTCTCCATCTCTCCTGGAGCTCCTGGAGGGACTGGAAGGGGCTCCAAGGTCTCCCCAGAGCCTTCTCTTCTCCAGGCTGAACCCCCCCAACTCTCTCAGCCTGTCCCCACAGCAGAGGGGCTCCAGCCCTCCCAGCATCTCCAGGGCCTCCTTTGGCCCCATCCAACAGGTCCATGTCCTTCCAGTGCTGAGGACTCCAGAGCTGGACCAGTGCTCCAGGTGGGGTCTCCCCAGTGAGGAGCAGAGGGGTATAATCACCCCCCTCACCCTGCTGCCCACGCTGCTGGGGGTGCAGCCCAGGATGAAGATTTACTCGCTGTCCTTAAACCCTCTGTCCAGCCCTTCCTGCTCTGCCCTGTCCCTCCCCAGCGCCCCAGAGACCAGCAGGGAGAGGGGCAGATGCTTCAGTCCGTCCCACGGCCGAGTCTCTGCACCACCAAAGCATCCGGGCACCAAGTGAGGAGTAATGTCTGGTGGTGACTGGGCTCAGGACCCCCCCATCTCATTCTGCTCCGCTGCTCGGGGGGAGCAGGGACCCCCTGTCTCCAAGTGACCCCGAAGCAGGAGGCTCCCCAAGTGATGGCACCGTGTCTGGCCAAAGCAGCAGCTCTGCATCGTTAGGAAGGTGCCTCTGAGCCGCTGTACATGATTCACCACAATAACTAGACAGGCTCAGGGCTTTTTTTAGCAGCGCCTATTAAATATATCCAACGCACCAAATCATCCCCAGCTACAGACACGGGCCCAGCAAGAGACCCTGAGAAAGCTCCCTGTGCTTTGGATTATGGACATTGGGACCACTTCCTTGGAGGAAAGGCCAATGACCCCAGAAGGCTGGGAAGGCTGCAGGCAGCAGCTTCTCTAAGCAGCCACACCAGTAAGACCTGCTGGTCCCTCTAATCCTCCTCTGCATGGATGGATTCTCCAGTGTCCAACAGCTCATAGTGCAACCTCTGCCCTAGGGAGGACGTTCAGGTGTCTCACTCCTCTGCTCTCCCACCTCTTTGGGTTAAACTTGCAGGTATTTAACTCCCGTGGAACCTCTCTGTGTCTGCCCAGCGTAGGCAAAATGGGCTGAGAGGCTCAGAAGTCTCTGGGGAGGGATCACAGACACAGGGATAACTGGATCCCATGGACATCTTCCCTGAGCCTGACCTAACGGAGAGGGGGGGCTCCAGCCCTGAGAGTCACCGAGCTGAGGGACAAAGATCAGCATCAGCTTCCTCCCTGCTGGAAAGAGGAAGACTAGAGAGCAAAACTGGTGGTGCCAGCAGGGCCACATTCAACATCTGCTCTGCAAATGAGATCTAGGTAGTGATTAGCAACTGCTCTCTGCTGTTTGTGGCGACACTAGGATCCAAACATCAACACTAGGATCCCAACATTGACACTAGGATCCAAACATGGACTGTCTCTCAGCTCTGAAAGCAGCTGTGGGCACAGGGAGCCCCGTCCCGAGGGAACACGGCACCCTCAGCCAGCCCCAAGGCTACTGCTGGGCACAGGGTGACCTGGATCCCACCCACACCTCGTTAGCACTCTGGGGGGGTCACCAAGCTCTAATTGTCTTAACCTGCCTCATTTGGGCCCCCACCCACACACTCCTTGGTCTGGGAGCTGCATTTAAGGCCAGACCTTGTCCCCACCCTGAGCTATAGGGGTTGTGTCCTCAGTTTGGACCTGTGCTGGGGAACTACACCTTTGTTGGTGCAAAGAGCATCCAGAAGCTGATGTCCTGGAAAACTTGAAGCCTGAACAGGTAAGAGAAGGGGACACAAAGAGGTGGAAAATGTGCAAAGAGAGCACAGGGTTTCATTGATATTCTTGTTTCTGCTGTGGTGGTGGTGATGGAAAGGAGTGAGAAGAGTCAAAATGCAGAGTGGATGAAGTAAGAAGTGGATGAAGTAAGAAATTATTACAGGGGTGAGCAGAGGATACTGTGGGGAGAAGGTGAGGCAGGATGAGGGGAAGGTGGGCCAGGACCTCAGAGGTGGGCTCTCTGCAGCCCAGACAGAGGAGATGGTAATGCCTCAGGTGCATCTTCTGTGAAAGACCTGGCCATGGGCAGCACAAAGCACCACTAAGCAAGTGGAACTGCAGCAGTGTGTCAGCTCTTGGGGTTTGTTTGGCATTTCAGGGTGCAACAAGCCTTGGGGCCAGGCCCTGTGTCCCATCACCATGTTCCCCTTCCTCTAGGGAGGAAATAGATGGAGACCTTAGTGCTGAAGGCTTTGCTTTCTCCCCAATTTCCATTCTTCTATGGAAATTAGGAGTGAAAAAACCTCCTCCCAAGAAGAGGGAAGGGAAAAAACAACCACATCTGGGAAAACTGGAGCTGCTGCCATGGTGGTGGCTGCAGATCAGTGCTCCTGGGGCTGAGAGCTGTGTTTGGGGTGTGTCACTCCATACAGAGACATGCAGGGCCTTACTGAAGGGCAGGGCCAGCCACGGCCCGACACAGGCAGGGCTGAGAGGGTGCCCTCCTGCACCTCTGGTGGGGATGGGATCTCTCTTGAGCAGATAACAGCTCTGGACAATGCTGCTAACGAATGAGGGAGGGAAAATCTAATTAGTACCAAAGCCTATCATCTCAAGTAAAAGAGTGACTTCATAAATTAAGTTTAGGAAAATTATGTTGTGAAAGAAGAAATTAAGGATGAATTTTTACAGTGTACTCTGCTTCCTACTCGAGGTGGCTGAGAGTGGGAGGGAGTGTCAGGACAGCCAGACATCTCGTTAGGAAGTGAATTAGTGGTGGGACTGTTTCCTTCGCTCTCTGGTGAAGAGGATTGCAGGAAGGATGCTAGACATCATCCGGAGAGCAGGGCACTGCCACGTCCCCCCACGCAGCCACATGACTAGGATTTTGTCACTTAGTGAGGAATTCAGAGCGGAGGAGTTTTGCCCTGGGCTCTTCCTCCAGCAGATAAGGATGTGCCCTGGGAGGCTCTGGCAGCCCCTGGTAGAGCAGTTCTCTGAGACACCTTCCCCACCTCCTTTCCTCCAGGGCCAGGTTAAATGCTTCCCAATCAGAGTAAATGAGATTAATTAATGGACACACATCTCCAGCTGTCACTGCCAGCCCCCTGCACTATGCTATTTTTCCTTTCCTCTCCCCTGCTGTGGCCTTTCTGCTGCTGACTGACCACGAGAGGCTCATGCCCCCCAGTATCCTCCCCCTGCCTGTACACAGCACTATTCAGACTGGGAGCATCACTGGGGGCTCCTGGGGGCCTGAACCCTGGCTAAAGGCAAATCACACAGAACTAGTCACTGTGATTTGCCTCTAGCCACTGATTTTTGGGGCAACCTAGAGCACCTGGCTGCAGCAATTCTCTTACAAGAACATCCAAGAAGTGGCAGAGTTTCTCTGTGTCTCAGAGCCGAAGTAGCCCCCCTGGCTTGCAGCTCGGGTACCACTGATCTAGAGAGCTGGAGCTCAGGTAGCCCACCCAGGGCACATGACAGGGACACGTACGAAGGCCTGGTCGATGTCCTTCCTGATGTCTGCCACTATCTGGGCGTTGTCACTGTGGGCCAGGACGGCATCCAGGGAGTGCTGCTGGATGGGCTCCAGCAGGCGCGCGGGGTGCCCCAGCCGCAGGATGCGGGCCCTGTGCCCGGCCAGCCTTTCCACCAGGTTGTCCACAGCCACGTTGGATGGGGCACAGCACAGGACCTGTGAGGGGAGAAACCCAGTGATCCTTACTGCCAGGGACAGCAGAGGTGGGAGCAGCAGCGGCCAAGAAGGGAGACCAACATCTGTGGGGAATAAATCACTGACATCTCCACAGCCTCCAGACACCAGAGGCAATTCCCACCTGGCTTTGAAGCACAAGTGCAGGATCTTCAACAAACAGCAAGCCTGAGCTCTGAAGCCACAGTTTGCACCTCTTTCAGCTGAGGACCCCCCCGCAGTCAGCAGGGACACCCCAAACCAGACCAGGTTGCCCAGGGCCTCATTGAGCCTCTCCTTGAATATCTCCAGGGAAGGGGCCTCAACCACCTCCCTGGGCAACCTGTTCCAGTGCTCCACCACCCTCACAGTGAAGAACCCTCTCCTAATCTCCAGTCTAAATCTGTTCCCCTCCAGCTTGAAGCCATTGCCCCTCGTCCTGTCACTGCAGGCCTTTCTAAACAGGTTCTCCCCAGCCTTCATGTAGGCTCCCTTCAGGTACTGGCAAGCCTGAGGTCTGAAGCCACAGTTTGCACCTCCTTCCAGCTGACAGGGGAAGCTCCCTGGGCCCTGAAGCCCAGCCAGAGCCTGCAGCGTGACATGGCCATGGCTGGGTCTGCTCCAGCTGCCACGGAGCACATGGAGTTTCCAAAATAACCCACCCTGGTCACTGTCACTCCCGTCCCGCCACTGAACCAAGGTGGTCACTCCTGTCCTGCCACTGACACTCACCTTCAGGCCTTGCTGGACCGCTTGCAAGATGATCTCCACCAGCGTTGTGGTCTTCCCTGTGCCAGGCGGTCCATGGACGATGGCGAGCTCCCTCTGTGTCAGCGCGAAGGAGACGGCCTCCCTCTGTGACGCATCCAGCGACTCGTTGAAAAGCTTCAGAGGCCCTGGGGAGACAGCGGGGGATTTGCCTGGACTCAGCCCTAACCCGGGGCTTGCTGAGCAGCACAAAGCCGGGAACACAAAGAAGCAGCTCTCGGTAGCTGGCCCAAATCAATTTGATAATGAGAAGAGGTTCCTGGGGAGGAAGGCTCACCGTGTCCCAGCCAGGGGGCTACAAGAGCCCAGGCTGGTAAAAGCAAGCTTGTTCTGCTTTCAGAAGGAGCAGGGAGCCCACCCTGCAGCGTGTCTGCCCCTGCCACTCCTCAGGAGGAGCAAGCACCCAGCTGGGAACACGACTAGTCTGGATTGGAAATTTTCAGCATTTAAAGAGGCATTTACTTGCTACAACATCAAACATGTAGAATCTCCTGGGTGCGGAGGGTGCTCTGGGTTTAATTTAAAGGTGAGACAGCTTCTTTAGCAAACTCTCAATGAAAAGAGGGAAGTAGTTGATCTTGCAAACAAATCGCTCCTGTTCCAGTTAAACCCACCTCAGCATCAGTGAAAAAGCAGCAGAAAAGAGCAGTCCTGTATTGCCCAACAATGACTGAAAAGGAAAATAGATACAAACTGGCAATGCAAATGTTGAAAACTAAAATTAGTTTGGGCTTTAATGATCAGAAAGGAGAAAAGAGAAAAAGGACATGCAAATTGCATTACAAGAGAATTGGTTTCACTGCCGAAGACTGAATTCTCACAAGCTGCTTTTTACCTCCCAGATTTATCTAATTTAAACCCATATTTATTCTCATCTCCCATAATCCTGCCGCTAATCTCCTTGTTCATTATGGAAGTTAATTACAGCAGGGCTGATGACTCATTACACTGAGGTTTACTGAAAATAATGTTCCCACGGAAGCTTATGTAAGCCCCATCTCTGGGCACGGGTCCCTGCTGGGCATCGTGTGTTTTAGCGCTGCCTTTGCATTAGGAACTTGATTAAAAGCACGAAGGTGCCTCCTGGCCTTGGGCAGGTTGAGTTGTGGGCACCCCCGTGTCACCCCCAGCACTGGCTTCGGAAGCAGCACAACTAAATGAGGTGTTCGGGTTAAATAACGTTTGTTAAAAAGATGCTGGTGAGGAGGAGAGAAATGGGACTAATGGGACTTTCTCCTGCTAACCTGCCTCTTGCTTTACACCTAATTCTGGAGCTGGCGTGCTAATGACTAAGAGGAGACCGGGAAGCATCCCGTGGGCCTGGGGAAAGAGAAAGAATAGCTTAAAAACTGAAAGGCATTTCCCACAACGAGGAACAGCCGGGACGTAGGAGTCATTGATATTTCCTTGCTCAAGGAATGAGATCAGAAACAGGCTTCTCCACACCCTCTTCCCGTTCAGTCCCACGCTGCCGAAGCTGCTGTGTGGGTGACTGGGAGATGTGCCTCAGCTGGGCTGGGCAGGGTGGGGAGGAGGAGGAGGGCAGAGCCTTCGGAGGGGTGCTGTGACTCCTCTAAGCTCTCCCCCATCCCCGAGCTGGGCTCTCAGCAGGCTCACCTGAAGAAATGCAGTTTATCTGCCCCAGCAGGGCTGGCCTGAGGGCTCGGTGTGAGCCATCAGATCAGGGCTTGCACCCATACTCTCAGAAGACACCCCTTAACCCAGCCCCATGGCATCAGCTCTGCCTCCTGCCCTGTCCATGTCAGCCCCCAGAGCAGCCTGGGGAGGGGATGGATGTCCACCTGCACCCTCGGGTCTCGCTGCTGCCCAGGTAATTCAGCCCCAACAGGCAACTTGATTTAGGAGTGTAGCATTGGAAAAAAAATCGCCTTGGCCACCAAGGTTGTCCCTCCAACATTTCCAGGACCAAGACACTTTTCTGCACAGGACCAGCAGTCCTGGTGAAGAGGTGGGCTTGGAGGGTGAAATTCAAGTCCAGGGAAAGGAGCCTTTGCACCAAATGTGGGTGGGAACTGTCCTCCCTGGGAGGGAAAGCTCAGGTTCTCCAGAGCTGGAGGCCCCTTGCTCCCCAGTGTACCTTCCTCATCATCATTCTTCAGTCTGGAGAAGAGGAAGCTGAGGGGAGACCTTCTCGCGCTCTATAACTACCTGAAGGGGGGGGCAGAGAAGCGGGGGTTGGTCTCGTCTCCCAAGTCACAGAAGACAGGACAAGAGGAAATGGCCTCAAGTTGCACCAGGGGAGGTTTAGATTGGATATTAGGAAACATTTCTTCATGGAAAGGGTTATCCAGCATTGGAGTGGGCTGCCCAGGGAAGTGGTTGAGGCACCATCCCTGGAGGTGTTCAAAAGATGGGTTGAAATGGTCCCCAGGAATATGGTTTAGTGATTTTTTTTTTATTGCTTATTTCTTATTTATTTTTTTATCAGAGTTAAGTTGATGGTTGGACTAGATGATCTTAGAGGTCCCTTCCAACCCAGACAATTCTAGGATTCTGTCACTGTGTATGGGCACCACCAGCAAACTGGAGCCTGTGACCAGCTCCTCCACAGCCCAGCTGCAGCCAAACAGGATGGGCAATGTCCCGGAGGGTGATTAAGCCTGAAAGAAGGCACTTCCCCTGCTCTGCCTGTGCAGGATTTGGCAGCTGAGCTGTCTGGAGAGCTCAGTGTTCCCCACAGATCTCATGGGCTCTTCATGGCTCCTGCGATGGCAGGAGGGATCACACGGTGGAGGGACAAGCAGCATGTGAGATTTCTGCAGTGACTTGTCACATCCACTCGACTCGTGCCAAGGAGCCCAGGAAGTTTTGCTAGAAATCCCTGGTGTTCCCCAGTGCTGCTGGGTCAGCTCTTACCGGGGACACCCCCACCCTCTAACACGGCTTTTTCTTTCCCTTTCTCCTTTCTCTTTTCAAATGTCTCTTTCCAGCAATAGGCATAAGTGGGCACAAGGCAGCTCCAGTGTCTGGGCACAGGGATGAACACTCCCGTGCTTTTTCCAGACCAGGAAAACAGAGAGAGGTGGTGGCTGTTCCTGACCTCACAGGACTGTGCCTACAATAAGGTATAACCTTATTTCTGGCAGAAAAGGGAACGTTCAGGCCGGCAGGCAGAGCAATGCTGGCCTCTGCTGGCAAGCCCAGCCTCTCCATGCATCCACCACCGCGGACGGTTTGGAGTTTGCCTTTGAGAGCTCACTCTCCCACCTGGTTCCCCTTCTGGAGGTACAAGGTAAGGGTTGGAAATGCTTTGTGGTGGGGAGCCAGTCCCCAGGCTCCCATGCTTGAAAAGTTAGGCTTCTAACTTTTCCCCCCACCCTTAAAAAATTAGATTTAGCATCCTGCTGCTGCACATGTCACTTCCTGGAGCCTGTTTTGCCCTTGGGAGAGCACCAGGCATAGAGCTGGGTGCTTATGATTTCCACTGACCCTTCTACTTCTTGATCCCTTTGTAATTTGGTTCTTCCCCACCGTTTGTACAGAAGACAATGACAAATGTTCTGCATCCGGGTATGGATCTGCTCTGTGCCACCTTCTCCTCCTCCTGCCCACGTGTTGGGGCCAGCTCTTTCTCTGGGTGGGTGTTTATGTGGTTTCTCTCCTACCCCTGGCTTTCTGGGCTTCTGACTGAAGCAGAGCTTTATTGCATCCTGGGATGGTGTTATTATAGATGTGTGTCTAGACAGCCCGTTTTACGAGATGTACAGAACTTATTAACTCCGGGTCCTGACGGGTTTGTTTGAAATCAGATAATGGATGGGATGAGGCAGAGGCAGGAAAGCATCTCCCTGGGAAACCAGGCTAAAAGATGCTTGGTCATGGAAGGAGCTACTGTGCCATGGAGGAGGGGCAGCCTGCAACACTGAGGGGTTCTTCTGTCCTCCTGTCACAGAGCACGCACCTGGGAAACACGTGCTGCCTTCTGCCCACAGACCCCACACCTGGGAGTTTGTGTGCTGTTTGCAGAGACACGTTCCTGTGTCCTGGGACACACAGGACACCTGGGGCACTGCAGGTGCCATCGTACAAGTCTAAGAGATGGGACTTATCCCGGCAGCTGCCATGTGCCCTCCCCGTCAGGTCTGTGGAGCCTGGCCGCCAGGTAGGACCTCGCTAAAGTTGAAGTCATTATTATTTAATTCCTGGCTAGTATAATGTCTCTCTAGTTGGGGAGGAAGGAGCTATAAATTGAGAAGGCAGAAGGAAGGCCTTTCCACCCTGCCCTTCTCAGGTTATCTGCTGCTGTCTCGTATTGCATCTCCTTTCTCCGTCTGATGAGGCTGAACGTTTCTATCAATCAATATTCCCAGCGCTAGGAGATGTAAAATCCATCTCTGGGCTTAGTCTGGCACTTGTGAGCCATTTGGTGAAACAGAATTTTTCTTCATTAGAGAGGCAGTTCTGCTACCATCGGGGGAAAAGCAGGGTAGAAGCTGCTACGAAAGTTAGTTCATTAAAATTTAATTCTCTTATCCAATATTAAAACCCTGAGCACAGCAAGGTCTTGAGGTAGCCAAAAGGCTAAGAGGTCTGACTCAGACCAAGCTCAGCACTTAGAACTAGGGAGACATGACTTGCACTAACATGAATTCTTTGCCCTGGGTGTACAGAATGGGAACACAGCGGGGAGTCGGGGCACGAAAGAGGGGAACCACCGTGGGCAACCAAATACAGTAACAAAAGCAAGAAAAGCCAGACCAGCAAGCACAGAGCACCAGGAGCTGCGGTGGGGAGGGACCTGAGCCCAGCCCCAGGCAGGGATGGAGGGTGTCACCCACATCACACTGTGTAGTGGTGAGCCCTGAGCTCTGCGGGGCTGGGAGACAGAGCCACCCCCTGCCTCCACCCTGATCCCTGCGGCCCAGGGCATGTTCCCCTTCTGTCAGGGATGATATTCGTTGGCAGTTGCTGGGCACTCGGATATTCTGCTGGTCAGAGGCTTTGGTTTCCCCAAAAGGGTAAGCTCTGTAACTTCATCTCACATTTCTCCAAAGACTCGCATCAACAAAGCTCTGAGTAAAAGGGGATTCTGCTTATATGTGATTTTCTGACAGCTGGTGGTTCCCATGAAGGCACAGTTATTGGATTTTTAATATAGGAGCAGTGCTGGCACTTCCTGATCTTTGAAGTTTAGGGATGGGACTGGGGCAGGAAGCAAATGAGAAATGCCTCATAAACTAAACTGAATTTCAGACCTGTGAACGTGTGTAAACAAATTCCCCAAACCTGTCAGCTGTGACACCTGCAGAGATGAGCATCCTCCAAACCAGGCAGGGACAGGCCCAGAGCCCTTATCCTGTGGGCTGGGAACTTCAGCCTTCACTGAGTGCTCTGGAGAGGGAATATTTCCCCCCACTTTCCCCACAATAACTTTCTCTATCTTTGCTGCTGCTCTCATGTCGGTTTTAAGCATTGCTGCTCTCGCCAGCCCGTCCCAAAGAGCTCCCCAGTGCCTGACCCCAGCTTCACATACTGGGGCAGACTAACCCCAGTAGCAGGCTCATTGCAGGTGCTCAGCTGTGAGGGTCCAGGGGCTCTGACCCTGGCGGGGGGCAGAAAATATCTCTAGAAAGGTCAATTCAGCACCTGCCATCAGGCTGCTATAAAATATTACAGAGAAGCATCCTTACTTGTTTCCCTGAAGGCGCTCGGAGCAGAAGAGAAGAAGAGGACGTCGATGAGATCAATCAATATTCCCAGCCCTAGGAGATGTAAAATCCATCTCTGGGCTTAGTCTGGCACTTGTGAGCCATTTGGTGAAACAGAATTTTTCTTCATTAGAGAGGCAGTTCTGCTACCATCGGGGGAAAAGCAGGGTAGAAGCTGCTACGAAAGTTAGTTCATTAAAATTTAATTCTCTTATCCAATATTAAAACCCTGAGCACAGCAAGGTCTTGAGGTAGCCAAAAGGCTAAGAGGTCTGACTCAGACCAAGCTCAGCACTTAGAACTAGGGAGACATGACTTGCACTAACATGAATTCTTTGCCCTGGGTGTACAGAATGGGAACACAGCGGGGAGTCGGGGCACGAAAGAGGGGAACCACCGTGGGCAACCAAATACAGTAACAAAAGCAAGAAAAGCCAGACCAGCAAGCACAGAGCACCAGGAGCTGCGGTGGGGAGGGACCTGAGCCCAGCCCCAGGCAGGGATGGAGGGTGTCACCCACGTCACACTGTGTAGTGGTGAGCCCTGAGCTCTGCGGGGCTGGGAGACAGAGCCACCCCCTGCCTCCACCCTGATCCCTGCGGCCCAGGGCATGTTCCCCTTCTGTCAGGGATGATATTCGTTGGCAGTTGCTGGGCACTCGGATATTCTGCTGGTCAGAGGCTTTGGTTTCCCCAAAAGGGTAAGCTCTGTAACTTCATCTCGCATTTCTCCAAAGACTCGCATCAACAAAGCTCTGAGTAAAAGGGGATTCTGCTTATATGTGATTTTCTGACAGCTGGTGGTTCCCATGAAGGCACAGTTATTGGATTTTTAATATAGGAGCAGTGCTGGCACTTCCTGATCTTTGAAGTTTAGGGATGGGACTGGGGCAGGAAGCAAATGAGAAATGCCTCATAAACTAAACTGAATTTCAGACCTGTGAACGTGTGTAAACAAATTCCCCAAACCTGTCAGCTGTGACACCTGCAGAGATGAGCATCCTCCAAACCAGGCAGGGACAGGCCCAGAGCCCTTATCCTGTGGGCTGGGAACTTCAGCCTTCACTGAGTGCTCTGGAGAGGGAATATTTCCCCCCACTTTCCCCACAATAACTTTCTCTATCTTTGCTGCTGCTCTCATGTCGGTTTTAAGCATTGCTGCTCTCGCCAGCCCGTCCCAAAGAGCTCCCCAGTGCCTGACCCCAGCTTCACATACTGGGGCAGACTAACCCCAGTAGCAGGCTCATTGCAGGTGCTCAGCTGTGAGGGTCCAGGGGCTCTGACCCTGGCGGGGGGCAGAAAATATCTCTAGAAAGGTCAATTCAGCACCTGCCATCAGGCTGCTATAAAATATTACAGAGAAGCATCCTTACTTGTTTCCCTGAAGGCGCTCGGAGCAGAAGAGAAGAAGAGGACGTCGATGAGATGGGAGGCTGGGCCGCTGCGATACTGCTTCAGGGCAGTTAAAGCTCTGCCAAAGAGAAAAACAGCCGGGTTACAGGCACAGCAGGAATTCCTTCAGAGATCCCTGCACACCTCAGGGCCCACTGAGAGAAGACTTTGGGCACAGATTCAACTCTTCCAGAGCTGAAAAGTGTTACTCTGTCACAGACTAATCCTCTCTGATTGCTGCCTCCCCAGCACTCACACACAGCCCTTACACCAGCCAGAATTCCACCTGCTACTCACTCCAGTCTGACACAGGCAGACCCTCTGGCGAGCCCTGTCAGCACATTATTCAGCCAAGGGCTATTTGCTTCTCCTGCCAGGATGGAAAAGGCTCTACACAGAATCCTGGGAGTACCAGAAGTGCTGCAACACAGGGCTAAAACACGTAACAGAGTGTGGGATGAGGGGCAGGAGGAAGAGGGAAGAGGAGGATCATACCACCCAGCGGGCAGATGAACTCAGGCTCTTGTGACACTGCAGTATAAGAGAGCCAATTGAGTTATCTCCATGGGAAGGAGATTCCTGCCCTCAGGAATTAGCAGAAAAAGAAAGGCACATCCAAAAGGTGGACACCTGCCCTACGCGGAGCTGCTCTAGGAGTGAGAGGAATGAGATGGGAAAGGAGAGAAACCAAGTCAAGGGAAATAAACCGAGATCTGTCTCAGAAGAGCTTTTCTAGAGTAAACTTGGCAGTTTTCAATTGGCTTTTGTGCTCCCAAGCAGAGTGGCTGGAGGGGAAGCACAGCCCCCTGGTCCTTACCTCTTCAGCCTGTTGTAGGTGACATCATTGGCCAATTTGAGCAGGCGGTAGGAGCTCTCCCGGGCCAGGCTCAGCATCCCGTCGCGGGACTCCTCAAAGGCCACGGTCACGGCTCTGGAGGTGACCCGTGTCACGACGCCGGTGGAGAGCGGCTCACCCTGGCCTGCTGAGTCGTAAAGGCCCACGATGTCCCCTGCAAAGACGAGTTTGAAGAGAGAGTGTGAACGTGAAAAGAAGCTCTTTTGGGGAGACCAGCAACCAAGTGTGGCCCAACACAGACAGCGGGACCAGCATCACCAACCACAGCTTGTCTCCTGCCAAGGTCAGAGGTGGTGTCAGGCCTGTAGCAAAGAAGCATGTCCTTCCCTTAGCTGGGAGCACACAGTGAGAGGGACCAAAAGGACAATGAGTGGTGGGTGAGAAGACACTAGACCTTCAGACCTCCTCACACCGCAGGTCCTGGGGAGGAGACCAGCAGAGCTCCCCTCAGCCAGAGCTGCTCAGAAAGTCAATATGCCTTCACACAGAGCTTGGGAGAACCCGACTTCTCTGAGCTCCCAGACAAACCATTTTACATCCAGTTTAACTTTTAATCTGCATGGCAATACGTGCCTCCCAGGTGACTGCTACGTGCCAGTCAGCAGCACTACCTACCACCAGGGATTTGTAAGGACTCAGTACAGCTTTTCAGTCACTGTGAGGTGACGAGAGTGGAATTACAGAGAGTAATGGTGAAATGGAGACTGAGCAGGATGCTTGACTAAGTGTGTCACTTAGCTGGGGCCCATGTTCATTGAAGATTAAATTTCAGATTTACAAACTATGGGACGCTTTGCTCTGTAAGGTCCATCAGCTCCTACATTACAGTATTTGCAGCCTAGGAATAATTTACTGCTAGGGCACTGTGACTTCTCTTTGAAGAGCACTGGCAGATGCCCTCAGGGCTGGAACCCCAATCTGCAGTGAGTCCTTGATTTCAGAGCTTGGCAGTTTGGGGGCCTGGCTGACACAGAATGCACTGAACTGAACTTCAGCACACTGAAACAGTGCCAAGGTGTGACCAGGGTCAGAAACAGGCTGGTTCCCTGTGATCCACCTGCTCAGCAAACTCTGGGATCCAGCAAACTAACCCAAGAAAATCACTGAACTAAACCAGAGAATTGTCTGCTGCACCAGCTTCTCTCTCCTGCACCAGTTGTGGAGAGCGTGAGGCAATACCCTCATTGCCCAAGGAACACAGAAGGGTCTCTGCAGACTCACTTGGAGCTACTCCCCAGTCAAACCCTGTCCTTCTGAGATGGAAGTGACACAGAGGGTGAGGCACAAGTTGAAGGGGCACTGGGTGACGTGCTGGTGACTCTGTTTCTCTAGGACCTTTATTTCCAACAGAAATCCAGATGTGCCAACTGGTAACGGTACATACTTCACTTGCCAAAAATAACAGTACGGGGAAGGGCAGAAATATGGCAAACGTGCCAACTGGTAACGGTACATACTTCACTTCTCTCGCCAAAAATAGCAGTATGGGGAAGGGCAGAAATATGGCAAATCGGGAAGGAAAAGGAAAATCCACTTTCCATTTTGCAATTAAAGCTTAAGTGACAAAAGGTCTTTACCTACCCCAAGTGTGAACACTTTGGCTTGTACAAAGAATGCCATGCAACCTTTCATGGCGAGACCAGGGCTTTGTTTTTACTGATTCAGGAGGCACTGGCACTAATTCCTGGTGCAACATACCTGCCTGTAACAAGCCAAGGGACAAAGAGGCTGTTTTCCTCTACATTCATCCTGGAGCCATAACATTTTCTCCTTTCCTTTTTTGCATCGATTGCTCAGGCTTTACCAATATCATGTTAGAAGGATGTTAAGAAGAAGACATTGGTCATCTCTTACTTCACCTACTTTGCAGTCACAGGAATATCACTTACCAGGCCCAAAGCTGTTAGAGGGCAGCTCAGCGTCTGAATCATGTTTCCTGGGCTGAAAGGTGACGAGCAGCCGTCCGTAGAGCTCGGTTCTCTGGGTGGCAGCTTGGAGTTTGAGCAAGCAGACACCCCTGCGCTGCAGCTCCTTCAGCGAGACGCTCTCCTGCCATGCCCTGGGAACCACACACAGGTGTGAAGAAAAGCCCTTGCTGGGCTGAAGCTGAGACTCAGAACTTCAGAAAATGGAGCAGGAGATAGATGGAAAAGAAGGGGAAGGATGACGAAGGGTGTCCCTGCTCATGGCAGGGGTGCTGGAACTCAATGATCCTTAAGGTCCCTTCTAACCTGAACCATTCTAGGATGGCACAAGGGACATCAGGTGGTTGAAGTGTTGGGCTGTGCTATGAGTTTGTAGCGATGTAACTAGACTGGCATCCACAGGCTCACTTTGGGCAACGGGGTGATGCAGACCCTGGAGAAACCTCTGTTGATGTGGATTTTCCTCTCTCCTGTCTGGGTGTGGAAAGAAAGGACCTGCCCAGTTGGTTTGTCTGGACGTGCACACTGGCCTGGTTTCAGCTGGGATGGGGTGAACTTGCTTCCTCGTGGCTGCTGTGGTTTGGATTGAGCATGAGAGCAGAAGGGGAGCCCCAAGGTGCTGCTGACCTTATGAGTGACAGCACACCCTAAAGGATGAGTCTGAGAGGGATTCCTGCAGGGGTGAGCCCAGCAGGGTCTCCAGGGGTTAGAGCGAGCCCTACAGGGGGGATTCCTATGGGGAGGTGCTGGTGATAGAGGAGTGAGTACCACAGCATTTCCTAGAGGTGACAGCAGGGTTCCCACGGGTGACAGGAGGTCCTACAGCAGTGAGTCAGCTGGGCTGCCCACAGGTGACAGCAGGTCCCTTAGGGGTATGTCTGTCACTGCTTCCCACAGGTGACAGCAGGTCCCAGGGTCCTACAGCAGTGAGTCAGCTGGGCTGCCCACAGGTGACAGCAGGTCCCTTAGGGGTATGTCTGTCACTGCTTCCCACAGGTGACAGCAGGTCCCAGGGGAGGTCCAGCAGGGTCTCCCATAGGTGCTAGCAGGCCCTATATGGGTGACAGAGGGTCTCCCATAGGTCCTGCAGGCCCTATATGGGTGACAGAGGGTTTCCATAGGTCCCGCAGGCCCTACATGGGTGACAGAGGGTTTCCGTAGGTCCCGGGGAGGGTCCATCAGGTCTCCCATAGGTGCCCGCAGGCCCTACAGGGTGAGTCCGGCAGCGTGTCCCATAGAGACCGCAGGCCCCGCCGGGCCCGGAGCGCCGGGGCCGCTGTGGGTGCCAGCAGCTGTCCCGGGACAAGCCCGCGGGGAGTGCCGCCCCCGGCGGTACCTGCTCTCGGGGCCCGGCGGGGGGCGACAGGTGAGACGGGACGGGCCGGGACATTCCGCTCTGCTCCGGCCGGGGAAGGGGAGGGAGGGAAGGAAGGAAGGAGGCGGCGGAGACCCTGCCCCGCCGCCGGCAGTTTGAACGGCCCGTCCCGTCCCCTCAGCGGGTACAGCGAGGCCCCGCGGCCTCCCCGAGCAGGCGTCGGTGGATGAGCCCCGGAGCTGCCCCCGAGGGGAAGGGCTGGGAGAGGGGCACAAGAGGAGCGACTCAGGTCGTTACCAGCGCGACCCCCGGAGCAGCCAGGAGGCCCTCGGGGGCAGACCCACGGTAACAAAGGGAGAATCAGCTCCACGGGCCGTTTGCGGCCTGGTGTGACCCTTCCAGCCAAACCCAGGGCTAGGGGGTGTAGGGGCTCCATCAGCCTCCCTCCCCGGGCTGGGGGGCCCTGCCTTCACAGCTGGGGTGGGTTTCTGTGCCAGGTGAGCCTGGCCTCGGGGGGCTGCAGCCTCAGCAAGGGGGTGGGTACCTGCGTTTGGCTTTAAGAGGTCATTCCAGTCCCTTGTGTCGGTCATGTTTTGGCTGGTGGCTTAGAAAGGTAATGTTCCTGCAAAGAAGCTGTGTGTAGTCTGTCTTTTAATTTAGCAAATTGCTCCAGAAAGTGTACTGTTGTCCCTCAGATAACGTAAGGGTAAATCCCCAAGCGTATGTTTTTAGACCTTCATCTCTATCCACTAATTAACAGTGTGTGCAAGCCCAGCTCCTTTCCCAAAAATGCTGAAGCTACACTCAAAGGGTAATGTAAGTTGTAGTAAAGCCACTCATTCTTTGGAGATTCCTGTGTTGGAATGGTGCCACAGCCTCGCTGGTTTGGTGAACGTGAGCTGGTGTATGTGTAGCTCTGAAAAGCATCAATAGGTTTTTCTCATCCCCACGTTCCATTGTTCCATGTTTGGCTCCGTGGCTCCTCTCCTCCTCTGGCCTGGAAGGAAAAGGCATGTCTGGGACAGTGATAACCCAGACACGGGAGTGTCAGAACCAAATCTGCCGAATCTTCCCATTCCCTGAGTTGCACTGCCCTTGCTGTGTCTGCTTGGGAGCTCCGGGGCCATGAGTTGCTGGTGCCTTGTCTTCCTGCTCTCTTTTCAGAGTGGAGACTTTGTACGGCTTACTGGAAATCACTGAGAATCTCCTGGTGAATGTGTAGTAGCTCCCGTCCCCTCTTTAGAGGGCCCAGAGTGCTGGAAGGGATCCTTCTAGTGCCATCAGTGCTCAGAATTAGAGTGCACCACAGCATCCTTCACGTTGCCCCTTCCTCCCCTCTGCCTTTCAGCCACCTTGTTTTCCAAGAAATACAGGATGCTCCCAGTGTGTCCATATTAAATCGTTGCCTCTGGCTGGAGGTGTCACTTGCAATAAGTGTGTTTGCAGAGGGAGGCCGTCCCGCCGCTCTCTTGCAGCGCTGCACACAACGCCTGGGTCCTTCCTCTTACCCTGTGTCTTCTTTTGCTTCCCCCTCTATCTTTGCCTGTGGTGATAAAGCTGAACACAGCTTTCACAGGCAGAAGAATGGTACCAGGAAGGTGACCAGCGCTGTGGCTCTCAGCGTTACAGTAATTAATGTTGCCTCACCGGGGACTAAAAGCCCAGCAGTAGCTGCTTACTTTTAATTCTTTTTCCCTCTCTCCCCCTTTAGCCTTCTTCCTTTCATCTGTGGTTCGGCACCAGAGTTCCCAGAGCACATCTCTGCAACAAGGGTAATGTCAAATGGCTTTCTGCTTTGATTTTTCCCCCTCAAAATGCTGACCTTCCCTGGGGGGGGCTGGGGAGGGCAGCTTGTTTTCCCTTTGGAAAGGAGACTTGTCTGACCCCTTTGTTGCTTCCCAATGAGTTTTGGGCCCTCTGCCTACCTTCAGTCCCCTTTGCCAGCAGGGTGTTCCATTGATTTGTGTAATTAAGCAGCTGAGTCTCCTCTGGTTAGGTCCTCCTCTGAGAAAAGGGCCACAGGATGGGCTCAGCCCATAGTAGACAGCAGAGAAGCCACTCAAGTCAGGACATAGAAACTCCTCAACTGCAGAAGGGGCTTCAGCTGCCACTCACCTTTGTTGCTCCTGTGGCAAAGTTCTTCTGCCTGGAGCCTCTGATACCTGGTAAATACTGAACTTGCACAGCATTATTCATAAAATATGAATACGAGCCAGCAGTGTGCCCAGGTAGCCAAGAAGGCCAACAGCATCCTGGCCTGTGTCAGGACCAGTGTGACCAGCAGGACTGGGGCAGTGACCATCCCCCTGTACTGGGCACTGCTGAGGCCCCACCTCGAGGGCTGTGTCCAGTTTTGGGCCCCTCACTCCAAGAAAGACCTTGAGGTGCTGGAGCGGGTCCAGAGAAGGGCAAAGGAGCTGGTGAGGGGTCTGGAGCACAAGTCTGTGAGGAGCGGCTGAGGGAGCTGGGGGTGTTCAGCCTGGAGAAAAGGAGGCTGAGGGGAGACCTTCTGGCTCTCTCCAACTCCCTGAAAGGAGGGTGTAGCCAGGGGGGGTCGGTCCCTTCTCCCAAGGAACAGGTGATGAAACAAGAAGAAATGGCCTCGAGTTGCCCCAGGGGAGGTTTAGGATGGAGATTGGAAATGATTTCTTCATGGAAAGGGTGGTGAAGCCTTGGCAGAGGCTGCCCAGGGCAGTGGTGGAGTCTCCATCCCTGGAGGGATTTCAAAGCTGGGCAGACGTGGTGCTGAGGGCCATGGGTCAGTGGTGGCTTTGTCAGGTTAACGGTTGGACTCACCGACCTTGGAGGTCTTTTCCAACCTAAACGTTTCTATGAAATGTGTTTAACAGCCCAAGCAGGGGACACTGAGGCAGGAAACTTCAGGCTTCACTTGGTTCTGCCCTTTGGGAGCTGCTGGTGGGTGCCTGTGCTTGGCTTGCTCTGCCGGATCTCCCGCGGGGGCAGCGCTGGGGGCTCTGCTGCTGCTCCCCCTCACCAGGAGGGACCCTGCGAAACAGAGCCCTCCTGCCAGCGGCATCTGGGAAAAACAGCAGGATTTGCTCCTTCCCTCTGTGCTGGGGCAGAGGGGTGGCCTCTTCCCGCTGCTCCTCGAGCGTGTGGGAACACCGTTGGGATCTCTGCCCCCGGGACACAGCGCCCGATGTTGTCACTGAACCCCCCAGCAGACCCACGGAGCCGTGGGGCTCGTGGTTACGGACCTGCTCGCGGTGGCCTTGGGTTTGTGTTAGAGGAAAGGCCTCTGGGAGGCATCACTGGCCATTGCAGAGTGAACTGATCAAACAGAACTGCTGTGGCGTTAATTTTACTGCCTTTCGCTGGCAGCGAATGCCCTTCCCTGAACGCTGTAGGCAGTTTACACATCCTGTGGTGTTTATAGAGAGCGTGGATCCCAGCGCGCAGGGAATCCTGAGCTTCCCAGTCCTGATGGAGACGGGATTTACTGAGCAGCACCTTTCTCTCCCCATTTCAGAAACTGGATACCTTCCTGGTCATCTCCTCGAGATCCAGGGTGAATCTCCCACCTCTTTGAGTCTCAGATTGTCTTTGTGGTATCATAGATTCCTGCTTAATAAGGAACTGTAATCCAGTGCCTTTTGGTCATGTGTCTGTCTCTGGGTGAAGGCATTTGGCACCTCTGGGGATAACCCCCCAACGCGGCAGGACGGGCTTTTCCCTCTTTCCCTGCTCCCTGACGTGTTTACAGCAGCTCTGATGGAAGCTCTGCGTGTGCAAAGTGCTGTCCCTGTTAGAGTCCTGCTTCTCTCACCAGTTCCTTGGGAACAAATCAATAGTTTGTGTAACTGGCTCTTAGGCAGAGATGTAAACAGCTGCCTCTGGGCCTTCTCCTTCTTGCTCCTCAGCCCAGAGATCTTGAAAAACAGCTAATTATAAGCAAGTGCCGTTTGCGTTTTTTCTGCTCAGAGTCACGCTGTGAGTTTTGCACAGTGTTTCGTTTGTGAATTAACCCCCCGTGGCACGTTGGAGCAGAGGTAATTGTTGTTCAGCTCTGATGCTGTGGGGGGGTGTCAGTGATTTGGTGCTGCTGCACCCCTGTCAGAAGGGCCCCCACCACGCAGAGCTCGGGAAGGAGCTCGGTTTTGACCAGAGGATCCCTCCCAGTGATGAACTTGAGAAAAGCAGAAAGAACCTACCACATCAGCTACAGTCCCCACCATGTGGAGCTCGAGGCACTCGGGAAAGAGCTCGGTTTTGACCAGAGGATCCCTCCCAGTGATGAACTTGAGCAGAAAGAACCTACCACAACAGCTACTGAGAATGTTGCTGGCTGCAGTGCCCCTGGTGCTTTTCAGCCTTTGTTGTGTATGCACCCCAGAGGCTGTTTGCCTTCAGGCCCCCAGTGTGTTCCCTGAGCTGAAGGTGTCAGTGTACCATATTCACTAGGAAGAGCAACATCTGCATATGGAAAATAGAGCGGGCTCTGGGTAAGATGTCCCTGCATGGAATTTGTCCTTCAGGTGCTGATGCAGTTTGAGCTGCAGTTGTTCTGTGACTGTATCAGCACCGAGTGATCCTGAAGGGACGTGTCTGTGATGCTGAGGAGCCCCCAGGCTGGTCACCAGGAAGGGTTTTGGGGACTGATGCAACATTTTGCAACGGGGAGGCTCTTGTCTCAGTGCTGCTGTGGCAGAGGGTTTGAAGAGAGATGTTATTAAAGTGATTCTCTATCACAGCAGTGGAAGCTACCCTTCCCAGAAGATTTAATTTAAATAGGGATTTAATTTGCTCCTTTTGGTGAAATATCTTGGTGCTCAGAGTCATCACGAGGGACGATGCTCGTGCTTGGCTGGGTGGAGGTGGGACGGTGTGCGCTCCTGCTCCCTTCTGTGCTCATCCTGAACCCAGAAGGGCACGGCTCTGAGAAGTCCTGTCCGATGCCCCAACTAGTCCCTCTCCACTCTGGGGTTGTCACTTGTAGACAGACTCAGGAACGGCACGGAAGAGGCTTTTGGGCTGAACGTTTGTGGTATTACAGGCTGAATTGCACCGGGGGTGGGAGAAGCCGTTATTATTGCCATTCAGGGATGCAGCTGGAAGTGACAAAAGAAGAGCAGGCTCATAACTCTCCTGTAAAGAACCCAGCTGTGGTCGTAAGGCCCTCTCTAAACTGTCTATTTAACAGAGAAGAGCTTCAAAACATAGAGGAAAAAAGGATGCCTGTGAGTCATTCGTGTGTAACGCTGGAGGCTGGTTTAGGAAGGCTCATTAGCCCTTTTTCCCCGTCGCAGGCACGTCTCCTCCTCCCGGATGCTCCCCGCTATCCCGGAACTGCAGGGCTTTGTGCTCGGGCTGAAGTGGGCTGAGGAGCGTTACCGTGTTCAGCCTCTCAGCTGGGCTGGAGGTAACTTGTGTCTCAACCTGGAAAAACTTGACAAGAGCGTTTTATCTAAAGCTCAAGTGTGAGCAAGGCTTCAGGCAGCTCTGTTTCCACTGGAGCTGGTGACAAAATTCCAGTCTGCAGGAACAAGCAGGTGGGAAGTGACCGGTGGTTGCTGAGCGTGGTCACCACTGGCACATCCAGCTGCAGGACTCCACATCAGGAAGGAGTGATCACCCAGCCTGGGTGAATTACCAGGCAGTTTTCCATCTGCTTCTTTCCACACTCATCCTTTGTTTCAAACTATTTCAAATAATATTCTGAGGTGGAAAGTAAAAAGAACTAAAGAAGAAATAACTATCTGTTTCCCATACTGGATTTTATGATAGGATGGGAGTAAAGCAAACAAAGCACTGAGGCATTTACCCCTTTTTCTTAAAGCTTGCTGCAATTCACGATGGACCTAGATGATGTCACGACACGTGGGCTTTGGGCTGACCCCGCATACTGACAGTCATGAAGTCTCCTGTACAACCTCTGCTCCCCCAATGGAAAACCACTTTCTGCCCCATCTCCAGCTGCTTTTACCTTTTTTCTCTCCTCATGTTTTACATCTCTTGACAGTATCTGTTTGCTACAAGTGAATCTCATCTTATCATTCACAGACTTGTTGCCAAAACATCTCTGACTTCCCCGCCATGGCCTGAAGTGAAACTTCCAGATCCAGTAGAAGAAGCGAAGCATCATGCAGGTGAAGCCTCACACTCCACCAGTATTGCCACTGGTGGCCTGATTGAGTATATACAAGTATCTTCAATGATTGGAGCTAATTATTGATCTTTGCATTTTTGTTTCCTTCCTGGTGCATGTTGGTGTCCCTGCACTTGTGCTCCAGCTGCTGCTGTTGAAGGTTTGGGCAGAATGTGGGGGTCTCTTTAGTTTATGGCAGCAGGACAGACCCTCAGAGGAACCTTACCTGATGTGACGTGTTGCTTTCTAAAGCATGAAACAAGCCTTTTGGACAGGAGAAAACAATTATTTTTCTTCTAATGGGTAAATCAACAAGCTAACGCCAGCAGGAGCAGTTGGCTGGTGGGCACGTCAGGGGGCTGGTGTATTTTAGTGCACGAAAGAGAAGAGTGGAGCCAGCATTAGCAGTTGGCTGGTGGGCACACGACAGAGCTGCAGAGGTGTGACATGAGGCCCTGAGCAGCTGGGAAGCGACATAACATGGGTGAACATGTCCTTGTCCCCACATCTAGTCGGGCTGTTGAACGCAGCCAGCGCTGCTCCTGGAAGGAGCACGTGGGGCATCCAGCCTCGCCAGCGGGTTAGCAGCCATCCTCCCTGCTTGGCTGGGCTACAACAGGGCAATTGTCCCCTCGTACCTGGCCACAGGTCCCCTGGGAGGTGGGGATGTGACAGTTGGGTACAGAGAAGGCTCCTGTTGCCCAGGGGGGCTGTTGTCACCCAGAGAGGGCTGGGGCTGGGAGCAGGGGAGCCCACTCGGGTAGGGGATGTTTCTCAGAACGGGGCAGTAACGAGCCCCAGCGGGTGGGTTTCCTGCACAGGGCTGTGCTGGTGGCAATTAGCAGTTGTGTACTGCAGGCAATGAGCTCCCTGGGTGTTCAGAGGCAGCCTCTCTGTCTCCTTGCCTTAGCCCCTGGGACACCCGGGAAGGGCACCCGACTCCTCTGCTTTGGTGGAGGAGGCCCAGGAAGGAAAGGAGAGTTGTTGTACGAGGAGAGAGGGAGAGGAGGAGAGCTGAGCGTGCCCACCCTTTGGCAGACAGTCTGCTGTCATCTGGCTGAAGTGTTAGTAACGGTGTGGGATGTGCTTTGGAGAGAGCTTCCTACTCCAGGTCTCCTCTCTGGCTGCTTTTCATCCTGCTCTTTTATCTTCTCCGTGCTCCTGGGACTGCTGAGGTGACAGATGAGTGTTCTGTCCCCAAGCGTGATGTGACCCAGTGCTGAACTGCAAACTGCTGGGCATGCTGTGCCCAAGCCCTCTGAGAACAGGGGCCCATGTCGCATGGGATCCTCAGGGCCGCTGTGATTTCCGTGCCTTATAACCTCCTGCTGTTAATGAGCTTGCATCGTTATCTCCCGGCTGGGCTTATCCAAAGCAAACAGCAGCGAGAACATTTGAATCCTGCCTTCTGTTCTCCTGCTGGCGATGGAAACAGCCCCGGATATTTTAGGAAGGGTCTCTCCACATGGTGCTGAGATACAAGCCGTGCTGGCAATAAAATGGGAACGTCATTGATGTTTTCTGTCCCTAGAGATGTTTGGAAGAGTTATCACCAACTTCAGAGCCCAAGGACGGTGCAGAAAATGCACCTTTTTTGGGTACAAAAAGATGAGAAAGCTTTGTGGGTAGAAAGTTGAAATTTGACAAGGAAATAGCCCTCGTTAGAGCATGACTCTACACGTTTTTTGCTAAGAGAAAGTAGTAGGCCAGCATTTTGGAACTTTGGTTTTGGACTGCTGACCACAGGACTGCTGACACACCTGGAGCAGCGCTTCGGAGCTGGGAGGACTTTATTGTGCCCGTTGTGCAGTTGAGGGCAGAGCAAAGAGAAGGGGCTTGTATTTTTTCTCTGGACGTTTGTATCAGTGAAAAGAATTCACAGTGGATTTTTCTTCTGGGACAGCAGTTCCGGCAGCACAGAAGCTAAACTCTTCCTCGTGGTGGGAACTGCAGCAACCACTGCCTTGCAGACCATTTCTGTTCTTACCTCTGCCTTGAGGAGTTTGCATCTGCTGGGCTGGAGCTTGGGCACTGTCAGAGCGTTCCTGTAAGGGCTGGGTTTGCTTTGACTGGCTGCTGGATTCCTGGCGGTCCCCAATGGCTGGTGTTTTGTTTACATTCCAAGAAAAAAATGATTCAGCCACTTTTAAGGACAGTGAAAAAAAAAATCTATTTTTCCAGTTATAGAAAAGTTGCTCTTTTTCTGAACAGCTCGAGAGGGCGGGAAGCTACTCTTTGGCGGAGGAATGGCACTCGTTAAGCAATACCTTTCCATGTTCCCATCGGAATTGGGTTTGGCCTCACTGCAGAGGAGGCTGATGACAGAAAGCTGGGATGGGTCCTGTGTAGGATCTCCCTCGTCCTTGGGGTCTGCACTGCTGCTGGCCCCTGTATGCGGGTCTGTCCATGTGGGGAGAGATTCTCTGGAGAAGAGGGAGGGAAAGGTCTCTCTTGTCTCTGCCACGGGCAGGAGTTCTCAGGGCAGGCTTCGTTAGGAGCCCCTTTTCCTGTGCACGGTGCCAGACTCCTCCTGGTGCTCTGCCCGCCTTACCCAGAGCCCTGGACCTTCTGCATAGCACTTGGGAATTGAGGGGAGCTGCCCTCCAAATGTGGACAAGTGCTCTTTTCTGGAGTGCTTTATATCTGAACACAGTGCATTTTAGGGTGCCTAAGAAACAGGCTGAGAAGCCAGGTCTTAAATTAGCTACCCTTGGTGCTTATTTACCTGTGGGTTTGCCAGCAACTAAAATACAAGTAGGTCATTGAGTTTACAAAAGGGTCGCTCACACACCGTAGGAAACAACATTGCTGTTGGTCTCTGCTTAAAGCTTCCCAGGAGATGAGAGCTGTGGTGGGAGAGCAGAGTGGCTGGGTTGCTTTTGAGCAGCCCTTCCCACCACGCTGGGCTTTCCCCCCTGACCCCTTCCCTGTTTCCCCGCAGAGGTGGTGCGGAAGGTGAACGCCATGATCGCAGCGGGGCAGTACGGGAGGCTCTTCGCCGTGGTCCACTTTGCCAGCAAGCAGTGGAAAGTAACCAGTGAAGACTTGATCATGATGGACAACGTGCTGGAGGCTGAATGCGGAGACCGGATCCGGATGGAAAAGGTGACGTGCTGTGATTCCACTGCGCTGTGTTGCACGGAGCAAATTCCCTGCCAACAGTCCTTGGGGCAAAACCCATCACCCGTTGATAAAACAAGTCCCAGAGAGCTCCTGTTGGATCTCCCGGTCCCACTCCAGCTACGGGCTTTGCCTGAGCTTCGTGCCAGTTTCAGCTACTCTGCTAGTGGTAATGTTGTTGTGATTTCTGTGAAACAGGCTTGGGATGAGTCGTGCCAGACTCTGTTAGGAGACAGATCTTTGTTGTACTAACTTCATCCAAAACCCGAAACTTGCAGTTGTTGTTTCTAGAGCCAGCAGCTAAAGGCTGTGTTTGCCTCGAGCCTCCAACACCCAAAATACTTGCAGTGCTCCCAGAGGGACTGTCATCGCTCCGTGCTTCGCGAGATCCTTATCGCGCTGAGCGCTTGGGCGGAGGGAGAGGGGTGGTGTGTGCTGGGGAGAGCTGCCAAGATGCTGTTCAGTATCTTTATCTTTCGCCCGGGGTAACGAGCAGGAACTTGTAGAGGCTCATTAATCTAAACCTTAAATGAAAGATGATGAAGTGGGATGCTCTTGGCTTCGTGTTGGCTGTTAGAGCCAAGCAAGCGGCAGAGAGCCGGATGGTTTTCCTACTCATCTTTCACTTTGAAGCCCAGTTTTGAGCCAGCTTTTTCGGGACGGCTTTAGCCATGTCCTGCATCCCCAGATCCAACAGAGCAGTGATTTCGTGGAGCATCAGCCAGGAACACAGAGGTCTAGGTGGGAGTGAAGAAGGTGAAACACTTGCCTGACCACCCTAACCTTTGGGGATTTTACTGGCAAGTATCAAAAACAAACGCCAGAACATCCCACGACTGTTTATGTGTTGCTTTTAACCTCTGCCCCACAGTTAGTGTGGGGAAGGAGGCAGTTGGTGGGAAATGCTGCCTCTTCTTCCCACCTCCTCAGTTATCCTGCCTGCTCCTTTAGATCTTTAGCCAGGCGGGTGCTGAGGTGCCCTGAAACAAAAGGGCTGGTCCCTGGGGTGGTGAATCCCCTCAGTGTTCATTTCTTTATTGCCCACCTTGAGGCCTCAGGGAGGAGAATGAGGGAAGTAGTTGTGGTTTTTTTTTTTTACTGGGATACTTGGTGGGAAATGCTGCCTCTTCTTCCCACCTCCTCAGTTATCCTGCCTGCTCCTTTAGATCTTTAGCCAGGCGGGTGCTGAGGTGCCCTGAAACAAAAGGGCTGGTCCCTGGGGTGGTGAATCCCCTCAGTGTTCGTTTCTTTATTGCCCACCTTGAGGCCTCGGGGAGGAGAATGAGGGAAGTACTTGTTGTTTTTTTTTACTGGGATATGTAGCAATTGCTATAAAAATGCAATGATTCTAGGAGCTGCCATTCCTCCAGCTCCCACACAAGGCATATTCTCCTGCCCTGTGTTGCCTGCCATATCCTCACAGCTGGTGCTGAGCCAGAGCAGAGCGGTTCAGCGTGTTCTGATCAGCAGGAGATACTGGTGGAGCGTGTTTGAGGGGATGAGCTGTCCTGGGGATGAGCTGTGCTGGGAGACTCTGTCTGGTGAACCCGTTTCTCACTTGTCAGCTGCCTTTCCCCACCATCCTTCTCTAGGAACAGGGTCGGGTTTGAAACATGTAAAGGCCTATTTTTAAGCAGTTTGACTCCTTTATAAAAATGCAATGATTCTAGGAGCTGCCATTCATCCAGCTCCCACACAAGGCATACTCTCCTCCTGCCCTGTGTTGCCTGCCATATCCTCACAGCTGGTGCTGAGCCAGAGCAGAGCGGTTCAGCGTGTTCTGATCAGCGGGAGATACTGGTGGAGCGTGTTTGAGGGGATGAGCTGTCCTGGGGATGAGCTGTGCTGGGAGACTCTGTCTGGTGAACCCGTTTCTCACTTGTCAGCTGCCTTTCTCCACCATCCTGCTCTAGGAACAGGGTCAGGTTTGAAACATGTAAAGGCCTATTTTTAAGCAGTTTGACTCCTTTATGGCGACTGTAGAATTTGGAAGATGCTCTTAGTGTTTCTGCTGGGACGATGAACCAGTGATATGTCTGATTTATTTTCACAGGTTTTGCTGGTTGGTGCCGATGACTTCACGCTTATTGGGAGGCCACTCCTGGGGTAAGAAGTCTCATATAAGAATTATCTTCAAGGTGATTTTGAAACATGTAAAGGCCTATTTTTAAGCAGCTTGACTCCTTTATGGCGACTGTAGAATTTGGAAGATGCTCTTTGCGTTTCTGCTGGGGCGATGAACCAGTGATATGTGACTGATTTATTTTCCACAGGTTTTGCTGGTTGGTGCCGATGACTTCACGCTTATTGGGAGGCCACTCCTGGGGTAAGAAGTCTCATATAAGAATTATCTTCGAGGTGATTCTTGTGCTTAATTGCAGCTTCAGGGCTCCTGCAGTCCCTGAAACTGAAGAGAAACATGAATTTCTCAGCCCTAGCATTTTCCCCAGCCCTGTGGCTTTTGAAGGAATCACCAATAAGCCAGTCCCATCAGCTGCTGCTGACCAACCATGGCCACGGTGCCAGAACAGGGCAGCACTTCCCATTTCTGAGGTTGCTGAAGGGTATTCACTTCTCAGGCTGGATATTAGGAAAAATTTTTTCACTGAAAGGGTTATCAGGCATTGGAATGGGCTGCCCAGGGAGGTAGTTGAGGCACCATCCCTGGAGGTGTTCAAAAGATGGGTTGATGAAGTGCTGGCAGGTATGCTTTAGTGATGATGCTCCTTGTTTGTTGTGTGGGTGTCTATTTTTGTCAGTTAGGTTGACGGTTGGACAAGATGATCTTTAAGGTCCCTTCCAACCTAGAAGATTCTGTGATTCTGTTGGGTTGGATATTTGAGAAACATGAATTTCTCAGCCCTAGCATTTTGCCCAGCCCTGTGGCTTTTGAAAGAATCACCAATAAGCCAGTCCCATCAGGTGCTGCTGACTGACCATGGCCACGGTGCCAGGACAGGGCAGCACTTCCCACTTCTGAGGTCGCTGAAGGATATTCACTTCTGTTGGGTTGGATCTTTTTCTCATAAGCTTTGTACAAACTAGGAGTAAATCCTGCCATTCAACATCTTTACTCCCTTACCCTAATTCCGGTGATAGTCATCTTAGAATAACCCAGAAATCCTTGCCCATCCCTTAATTTGACTTGGGTTTTTTGACCCATTTCCTTCTACCCTTGTCTTAACCCAGCAGGCCTTATTCTTCATTTTAGAGTTCGTAATTTTCCCTTCCTCCTAGTCACGTAGTCCAGCAATTGCAGAGCTGAGGAGAAGGAGTTTCCCCCCTTGGCACTCCCTCCATCCCAGAGCTATAGGACTTGCTACACACACTGTCAGGACACCTGGTTCTTCCTTTTCTTGACCCAAAGGATGCGGTGCGTGGCCCGGGTGTTACTGCTCAGCTCTTAGCACCAGCCAGGAGCAGAGTCAGGAGCTAGTGTTCTCCCCAGGACAAGAGGTTTTAGTGGTAAAAGGCAGGGCAAGGTGGGCTGGAGGTGCTGGGGGGTTGGTCGCAGCATCAACCACACGTTCACGTCTGGGCTTGAACCATGGCTACTTTGGGAGAGGATGGTCAGATGAGGAGAGACTCGTGCATCTGAGAATGACTTCTTGGTGGCTTCTAGGTTCAGGTTAGAAATACTCCATGGTTTCAGATGGGTTTCACTTCTGAGTGTTCTCTGTGGCCCCGGGGGCTGTTGGTGTTCAGGAGTTACTGTCACATGCTCCGCGGTTGATAACACGGTCAGTTGTGCTGGTGGTGACTGCCCCGGGCTCCCCGTGTTAGGTGGGGTTGTGAGAGCTGCCAGTCCTTTGAGCAGCACTGCAGATCCATCTGGAGCAGGCCATATGGCCAGGTACCATGCTTGGGGAAGGTTTTAGGAAGGGGAATCTTGTAATTGGGACTACAAATGTCACCTGGAAGAAACTCAAATTGGAGCCTGAGTTCTGCAGGTGGGGATGTGCCACATCAGGCAGTTTAGGAGCACCATCCTTCACCTGGCTCTCTTAACTGGTGACCCTGGGAGGGTTCTTTGGAGCTCCCAGTTTGTGTGCTGGCCTGGGCACGTGGCCCAAGAGCCAGGAGCTCCGGGGCAGGAGGAGAAACAGCCGTTTCATTCCTGCAGGTGCTGAGTGTCTGGAAAGCGGTGGCAGTTGCTTGCAGCAAACCCCACCTCTGCCAGCGTTAGCCTGAACCCCAGTAACTCTGGCAGAGGAGGGTGGGGAAGAGGAGGAGGCTGCCCAGGCAGGATGAAGGGCTGGTGAGGAGGTGCCGTTCCTCCCTCTGAGACGGAGGAACCCCCCGAGCCCCAGCGCCCCGACATGGGCCGAGGAGGGGGGAGCAGAGCACGGCGTGTCGCAGCAGCGTGCACTGCAGCTCTCCCATCGTCCCGGTCCTGCCCAAACCACAGACATCTTGGAGGGGAGATAAGAGCCTGGATGTGAACAAAGGCGGTTTTGTTTTTCTGTTGTTTTAAAAATAAACACGTGAGTGAATGCCTGCCCCGGCGTCTGCATAAGTTCATTGCAGCTGCGTTCCCCATTGGAGCCGGGAGGCGGGCAGGAGCCTGTCCTGTTTTGGACAGATGGCTGTGTTTTAACTTTCTGTAGCAGTCCGATACCTCCCAAGATGACACTTCTCTGAAGCCTTAAAAAAACAACAGCGCAACAAAACATCTCTGCGTGGCAGAGGCTATTCTGGGAACCCCGAGCTGGCTTCTGCTCTGGAATCTGCTGGGGTTTGTGTTTGCTCAGGGAGCTCGCTGCCTGCTCGGCTGGCAGAGGGGATCGGGCCGTCTGCGTGGGGCTTTGTTCAGCCCTATAATGCAGGAATTGTTGTGCCCCGTTAGAGCTGCGGCTGGAAGTGAGCGTAACCTCGGGCAGGTTGGCATCTCAGGGCATTGGCTGTTTGAGACCTGAGTGAAGGGAAGTGAATGGTGCCTCTGTGAGAAAGTTCAGCTGATTTCTAGACCAAGTACAGCTGAGGGGAGTTCTTTCCTCTGGATGAACCCTGCTCTTTCTCCTGCTGCCTGCCCGTTTGTGCAGCGGCTTCAGTGGGAGTGACAAAGGACCTGTTCTTTTCCCTGGCAGCCAGGCTGGGATTTGGGTACCTTCTGCAGGGAGCGAGGCAGCTTCTCAGCTAAGTTATTACCTCCAAGAGTTACGATCCTTTGGGGCTGTGGATTGCCTGGAGCTTTTTCACTGCCTAATGACAATAGCTTTCAGCCCAGCGTAAATCTATGAGATCGCAGTGTGGATTTTTCTTGCCTCCTGCAAAACTCTGATAGATGTGCTCTGTCACGGGACGTTTTGCTGCGGAGAGCCACTCTGGGAAATGTGTGACCCCCTTCTTATTTTTATGGACATTCCAGTCATACCTGAAACATTCCATAAAGATGTTGGGTTGTTTTGTTTTTTTTTTTTCCTGGGCTGTATTTTGCTGAGAACTTTTCTGTTCATAAGCTCTTCACCAGTAAGGTGGTTCCTGCTGTTCTTCAGCCCTTCAGCCAACAGGTCCTGGTGCTCTGTCCAAGAGGAAGACTCACCAGGGCCATGAACATTGACTTGCAGAGTCATGTACTCAACGATGTCTCAACAATACCCTTAAAGATTTGCCTGGAATCACGTCAGCACCGATGAGCAGTGATGGGGACACTTACCTACAGGTCTGTGTCAGTGTTTCTCCCTCTGGCTGGGTATCACCCCCAGCCTCGGGCAGCCACTGTGGCCCGGTGGGGAGAGCAGGATGAGGGACAGCTGGGCTGAGCTACGGCCAACCCTGGCTCTCCCCAGAGCAATGTGGGGGTTTCAGTGCCCGGGTCACTCTCTGCCCTGGCTGCTTCCCAGTTTTCCCACGTGATCATCATTACTGAGCTGCTGAGGTGCCTCCGTCCCAGCCTGTGGGCACTCAGGGGGGGCTGCGTGTCCCCTTGGCCTCCAGCAGCAGGAGTCAGACCCAGAAGGGGTCTCTCCCTAATGAGAGGGGTCACACACGGCCAGCCCCCGGAGTGCAGCTCGGTTTTGGGGATCTTCTCCAGCGCTGTGAGGTTTGCTGTGTGTTCCCGTGTGCTGCTGGGTCTGTCGTGGGGCTCTGGGGATGCCGGGGTCACTGGTCTCTTAAAAGCTGGGTTACCTTATGTCTGTTTTCTCCTGGGCCAGTGGCTAAATGCAGATGTATCCGTGTTCTCCTCCGGCTGCCCTTCCCGCCTCCCTCAGGATTCGGTCTCTGAGCTGTATGACACCCCAGAGAGCCATGAGGAGAGAGACAGTGAACGTCTCCAAGCCTTTGGCCTCCTGGTGACCCTGCTGGAGCAGTTGGGCTGGATGGGCTGCCCCCCTCCAGCGCAGACACAGTCGTTTGTCAGGAAAATGTTCTTTAAATGTCTTCCGGCGGCGAAGTGAGCATGCTAATGAGTTCTTAATGGTATTCTGCATTGATGCTGCATGGAAGAGTGTCTCTTCCTCCTCCATCGTGGCTGCTGATTAAAACCACGCTTTCCAAAGCTTCGCTCTGGCTCTTGTCTGGAGGCGCTTCTCGTCCCCGGGAGGAGGTGTGCAGACAGGGAACCCATCCTCCAGCACGGACTTCCCACCGCCTGGTTTTCCAGCTCTGGTGTTTTTCAGATATTTTTCAGAAATCCCAGCACTCTCCTTCTAACTTCAGCGGGACGTCTCTGGGAGCTGTGCGGAGTCCCTGGGTGGGCAGGAGGGGTGTGTGTCTGTGAGGTGATGTGAGGGGACGAAGCCATCTGTGATTGAACTCACCTGCAAAGGGAGCACGGGCCATATTCTCCACCCTCGGGGAGGAAGGATGTTTACTTGCTGAGAGTTTCCCTGTGTAGAAATGAGATCTAGAAATGACTGGAGTCTTTGAGTGGTCTCACTGCTCAGCCCGAGCTCCCCCAGCTGCGTGTGGGGAGCAGAACATGAAATCCTCTGTTCTCTGCCAGTTTGGGGTAAACAAGCAGGACGGAGAGTGGGCGGCAGGAGGGGGGTGAGTGGGAGGAGGAGGGACGTGCTGCAGCAGCCGGGTACCTGTGCCTTCTGCTAGAAACAGGGCCAAAGCTCTCACCAAGCCTCTGCCAGGACTTATTCAGTGAGAAGATGTTCTTCCAGCTCTCTGTGGTGCTTTAGGAGGAGGAAGGAGGTCTGTGCTGCCCAGCACAGCACTGGAGAAGGGGCCGAGGGGGGTTTAGCCTGTGCCATCAGGACAGATACGATCACATAGACCGTGTGAACACACCAGGGGAATTCATCTTACTGTGATCCAACAAGTTCCTGCAGGTTCCTCTGCTGCTGTTTCCATAGCTGTTCCTGATCTTATCCCTCCCATGGCAGAGAGGTCCCACCTTGCAGACTCCTGTCACCTGCCCGACACACCTATGGCACCTTGAGGCTTTTGGGTCCCCACCACAAAGCCACCGACCTGACAGGTTTCCCTCCTGCCCCGGGGACTTTGTAGTTGCTGTGGGTCTGGGCTCTGTGAGGCAGGATGTGCTCCTGGTGTCCCTTCCCCCCAGGAGCCTGCTCACACATAGGAGGAGAATGTAAATAATTAAAAAGTGATACTTCTAACATTTATTTTTAAGGAAAGAACTTGTCCGCGTGGAGGCTACTGTGATCGAAAAGACGGAGTCGTGGCCAAAAATCAACATGCGCTTTTGGAAGAGGCACAACTATCAGAGGAAGAAGAGTAAGATGAAAAGACCCCGGGGGGACATGTTGTGATGGAGGGGCAGCGCCTGGGGAAGGAGCCTCATTCACCATGTCCCCAGGGTCCCTGGTGGCACAGCTCCTTCCCAGCCCTGTGTGCAGAGGGAGGAGGACTCTGGCTGAGGGAGGGGAGCCATGGGAGGAGGGGGAAGGGTTTGACACTGACAGAGGGGAGATGGAGCTGAAATGTGGGGAAGAACTTGTTTGGTGTGAGGGTGGTGAGAGCCTGGCCCAGGTTGCCCCGAGAAGCTGTGGCTGCCCCATCCCTGGAGGGGTTCAAGGGCAGGTTGGAGGGGGCTTGGAGCAACCTGGTGTGGTGGGAGGTGTCCCTGCCCAGGGCAGGGGGTGGCACTGGGGGGGCTTTAAGGTCCCTTCCCACCCAAACCAGTCTGTGATTCTATGTCCAGCGCCCTTCATCTCACACCCTTGCAAAAGATCTTGCTGAAAATAATATCCTGGGCAGAAAAGCAACCTTGTGCCCTTTCCAAAGCCATAAATCTTGGCAATGGAATCACAGATGTGCCTTAACGGTGTCCCAGGGTGGGCTTTGGGATTATAAAGTGACCCCTCTTCTCAGACGTGACCGAGACGGAGAATTGGGACCTCTTATTTTATGGAATGGGTGTTAAAACCTTACCCAGCTGGACATAGTCCCACGGGAGCTCTGCCTGGACCTCCTGTTGGTGTCACAGCGATGGTCTGTCACTGTCCTGGCAGTGTGACAGCATCTCCAGAGCCCCAGGAGCCCTCACGCCGTGGCAGAGTCAGGCTGAGGGAGCTCAGCCAGCGGGAAAGGTACGCAACAGGTTTTGTGCTGTCATCTCAGCTTTTTTTTCTCCTCTTTTCATTCTTTTTCAGTCATCGTGCACCCACAGACTGTCCTCAGGATAAACACCATAGAAATCTTCCCCTCTTTGTCATGACGGATGGCTGGGCTGTTGCGTGGCGTTGGGTTTATTATTGCTTTAGGCAATTATGGAAATAAAACCGCCTCCTCAGTGGAAAGTTCTGGACTTCTCGCTGTTGTTGGAAATGGAAATCTATATGTAATTTCTTTTTAAAAAAAAAAAACAAAATGAAATATTTTTTTTCTTAAACTATTATTTCAGTCTGGATGGTGTTTATTCGTCAGGAGTTTTGAACAACCCAGGACCCAGGGGTGGTCGTCAGGCTGTTCCACCCCCCCAGCTCTGCCTTTGCCGGCACCTCTCTGTGCTGTGGGGATCCAGGCTCTCAGCTGCGTCTTCAAAATACCTTGGGCTTTGCTGGTTGTGGAAGCAAAGGGCCATGTGCCTGCCTGGCCCCAGAGGGGAGGCTCCGAGCTGGAAGGCACAACCCATGAGTATAATTAGTCAATTTAATCAGCCTGTTGTTAGTTATTGGTGTCCGTGAGTCACTGTGAGCAGAGCCAGGCCTTTTGGGGGGCTGATTTCTGTTTGGAACCACTCGTAGCTCTCCACAGACGTGGCTGTGAGTAGGTGGGGTGGATTTAAGGGTGCTGAGTGTAATTTTACCCCTGCCCCTTCTCCTGCTGCTCTGTGTGTGGAGTTCCCGGCGTTGTCTGTTTTCGGGGAGTGCCCTGGGGTACAGCGTGGCCACAGCAAACGTGGGGCTGGAGGGGGCAGTAAGACAAGTGACTGTGGGATCCCCAAATCATGTGAAGTGGTGAAAATCCTGCCTAAAGCTTAGCAGTGGGTGATGGAGCAGAGAAACCACCCTCCTACAGGTGAGCCAGAGGGTCTATCGCATGGCAATAAACGGTGTGTGTTAACGCCATCCCGGTAACAGGTACCTGTGGCTCAGGAGCGACCTCGTGGCTGTTTCACAGACTTGGTGTTGACCTGCTGAGTGTATTTTCATGTCTAGATCTCGGTATTTTCCCTCTGCTTTGCCCGAGTCGAGCAGAGCCGCTTGCTGAGCAGCGTGTGGATGAGTGGATGGAGCAGGGCTATTTGCCCCGGGCTGCCCGTGGTCCTGGGGCAGTCGTAACGTCGGGTAATTTCCTGGAGCCTGCGGCAGCTCTGGGATTCCCTGCGGCTCCCATGGGAAGTGCTGTGGGGCTGGTCAGCAGCTCACTTCTCCAGGGAATACAGCTGATTCAGGAGGAAGGCATGTGGGTGTCCTCACACCCCCACCCCGGGACTCCTTCCCAGGACCGAGGTTGCCGCAGCCCTGGGCTGAAGGAAGCGCTGAGTTTGAACATAACTGAAGGAAATTCTGGGTCTCATCCCATCTTCTAAATCTCACAGGTCTGTATAAACCTTCAGGAGGTGGCTGTAGGGGCCAGAAAGGGCAGCTTGGTGGCTTGGGCTGCGTTTCATCTCACCTGGCTTCAGGCGGAGAAAGGTCCAGGGTGCTTGGGTTAAGGCAGCTCTGCAGTCGCTGGGGAGGTGGTCACCTCAGGGGGGGCTCATCTCAGCCCCTGTAGGGTCCTCTGGCCCCTGGGAGATGCTGGTCTGTCTCTGCTGACTGCACGGGGGAGGTTGGGCTCCCAGAATTTAACCAGGGGATGGTAATTTGAAGGCAGGGACCTTCCTGCGGCCAGCCCTGACCCTTGCATCCTTGGTCCCAAGCCCTTGTGTGTGGAAGGCGGTGGAGGGACCTCTCCTCCCAAAATCAGCTCCACTGACAAGCATCAGGTCTTGGCTGCAAGAAGATGAAGAATTTCCTGTCCTTCCCAGTTGTGGAGAGATGCCTGAACAGAGCAGGGGGACTTCCAGGCTCAGGAATGTGGAAGGAAGAGTGTTGGTTCGGAAGGAAAATGGAATGTCTTCAGTGAATCTCTAAACCGGGTGTGTGTGTGTGTGTGTCCTGCCCTTTGGGAAGTGTCATTCTCATCCACAGGAGATGCTGTGTGAGATTCGGGTGGCTCCACAGCCTTTGCAGGGAGGAACATGCAGGAAGGTAAGATTGAGCCTCCTGGGTTTTGTTTTGAAAACTATAATACAAAATTAGAGCAGAATATTCAGGTGTTGCAGGGAGGAACATGCAGGAAGGTAAGATCGAGCCAATACCAGGAACTCCTGGGGTTTGTTTTGAAAACTTTATGATACAAAATTAGAGCAAAATATTCAGGTGGGTTTTTTGTTTTGTTGGGTTTTTTTTAAATGATGCAACCAGACTAAGGCAAAAGGGGATTATTTCTCCAGGGGAGTTTGGAGAAGCAGCCCCTTGCCATTCCGAGCGGAAGCAGAAGTGCCCAGTTGCTCTCTGTAGCACAGTCACACGGCTCCATTTGGCTTCTTGTGCCGGGGGGTGGTGGGCCGTGCTCCTCTGATGGGCTGATGCACATTGTTTGCCACTTGCCACGCTGACTGACAGGGTTTAAGAGCAGAAATTTCTCAACAAAGCAGGGTTTTTAATTTTTTTTCCTTTCCCTAAGCACTGATTCGCAGTGGGCATTTATCTGCTGGGACAAACCATCCTGTGGGACGCTGCGTGGGCCCAGGCTGGGATCTGGGGGATGCTCTGCCCGAGGTGTCCGTGTGGGTTGGACGAGAACCAGACCTGAGCTCTCCCCATCCAGCGCCTCCAACGCAGCACAGGGGTGTGTTGCCCCCCCAGACTCCCTGGGGGCTGCTGGGCTCTGTGTCAGTGTGGGTTCTGTGCCCGGGGGGGCTGGGGAGCCCGGAGCCGGATCCCAGCACCCGCTGCCCCCAGAGCTGCTGCCTCTTCTGGCTTCTCTCTCCAGCTTTCGAGGAATGTCGGTCGGACTCCGCTTCCTTCCCTGGGCCCTGCAGACACTGACGTTTTTCCATAACAAGGGAGCCTTGTTTCCTGCCGGCCGGAGCTGCCGGGAGCTTTGTTGGGAAGGAGCTGCCAGGAGGTATCACTGCAGCTCTGCCAGCCCCGCTTTGCCCTCCTGGCCCCCCATTCCGAGGCTGTGGGTTTGGGATTCCCGGCTCTGCTGCTCCCTAGATCCCAGACAGATTGCCCAGTCCCTCCAGTTCTCCCAGTTCCCCCTTCCCACTGGCTCCCCGGAGCAGCGAAGGGGTTTAGCCAAGCCCCAGTTAACACGAGCTGCTTCCCGGGGGATCAGTGAGCTGCTGGCCCGGCTGGGCATCTCCCTGCCCCCTCCGAGGAGCAATGGACCACGGCACCTTCCATTAGGGCAGTTATTTTTATCCTCCCCCACAGACACCGACGCTTCCAAGGCTTGGTTTGGAGCGAGGTTTCAATCATTAAAAGGCCAACGCTGCTCTTCTAAACCTGCAATGAGGGGCGGTGGTCAGGGCTGCTCAGATGTGAAGTCAGCAGCTTTGGGGGGCTTGGATCTGGGTTTCTCATCCTGGGTTTGGGTCTCTCATCCCGGCAACAATGAGACCGTTGTCATGATTGAAGGGGAAAGTGTCTGTGCTGGTCATCCTGCAGGACAGCTTTCTGCTGCCCACCTCTGGAGCTGGGCAGGTTTTAAATTCCCTGTGTGATGGGGTTTCTCTCCCTTCCCCTGGCGAGTTGCTCCCTGTTCTAAAATCAGCTTCACAAGCGAAGCTGTTTCCAGCAGCGCAAAGGCTCCCCATGGGGAGGATCCATTACTGGGGCAGCCTTAAGGGAGTGTGATGGACCCACGTTGGTGTCCTCACCATCAGCTTCTGCGGCACAAAAACCTGCCTGGACCTCTCTCTTTGGGACCCGAGGGGCAGCAAAGGGGTTCAGCCACTGGGTCCTGGTGTCTGGATGTGCTGAACGTTCATGGGTTCCACAGTGTCACGGCCGTGGGCGTTTGTCCTGTCGAGGGGGGAAGGCAGCTTGAGAAGCTCTGAGGACATGTCCCTCGGGGTGGGAGGGGAACGCTGTTAATGTGCCCCTTCGCCGTGGGTTTTATCCCCTGCCAGCTTTGAACCCGGACCTGGAGCCAGATTTGTTTTCTCAGCGTGACGTGGACACGTTTGGGCTGTGTGTCCAAATCTTCAGCGGTGAGAAAGCAGCAGGAGAGAGAAGGTGACACCAGGAAAGGGCGCTGGTTTGATGGCCCTTGCTCTAGGGGCTTCCTTGTCTCTTGTGACCTGAAAAACAGCCCCTTCACGGAGAAGAGAAAGGGGACGCCTCATCCCGATCCAGGGGGACACAAGCCCTTACGGAGGAGCCGGAGAGCGGCCGAGCCTGGTGTGAGCAGCCCTGGGCATCGGGGCTTTTCAGCTCTTTTCTCTCCCTGTTCACAGACCGTGGAGAAGCCAGAGGGCTCCGTGTCCCCGCTCCCTGTCCCGGCCTTCCCGGGGCTCCGGCAAAGTCGGGGTTTGATCCCGGTAGGAACGGAGCAGGTCCCCGGAGGCCCCAGGGAGGGAGAGGCCCCTGAAGCCTGAGAGCACTTTTTTAATTGCACACCAGCTTTGCTATGGCAACCGAAAATCTGCGTCTTGACGGGCTGCAGGGAGGGTCCTGGAGAGCGCCCCGTCCCAGGCAGCTCTCTCGGGGCGCTGGGGGCCCAGCCTGTCGCACACGGGGGCGTCTCAGTGGGAGCAGTGTTTGTACAGTCGTTAGTGAGCAGCAATTAAATGCGATACGTGAGCTAGGAGGGTGGGGATGGAGCCCGTGGGGCGGATGCTGAGGAGAGGAGCTGAGCGTGGTGGGACCAAGGCTTTGAAATAACCTCGGTGCAAGAGGGAGTGTGGGCTTCAGGGTCGGCTTGAAATGGAGGTGGTTCCTGCATAGATCTCCTACCGTCCCCCACCCTCCCATCACCTCACCGAGAGACAAGGGACCGGCTTTGGTTGTATCTTCCTTTTCTAAATAGAAACAAATACGCCACTTTCTTGCAGAAGCAGCAAAGTTCAATTTCTTGGGGAGCTTTCAGAGTCGCTGATGATCCGGCCGGGGTTTGGTTTGGACAAAACCCCTTGGTGTGGGGCTGCCCTGATCCGAGGCCATGGCCCCAGGGGATTTGGATCTTTGTCAGCTTTAGGACAAGGTTTTATTTCTGCTGGATTTCTGTTGGCAGGGACATGACTCGTGGGTGCCTTTGGCCTCTTTCCCGGTGCAGACTCCACTTCTTCAAAAAGCAGCAAGTATGGAAGAGCCCAACCACAGAGATTTCAGCAGAAAACAATATCCACCCACCTCCTCTCACCTGTCTCCTCTGCGGGGGCTCTGCTGGGCTGGAGGTGGCTTCCCCAGCGATGGCAGGAGATGTCGTGGTGTTTCCCATGTCCTCCAGCTGGAAGGTCCCCAGCAGAGGTGGTGGCAGCGGCGCTGAATGCATGTGTGGGAGAAGACACACGTGGGTTCCCAGCAGGGAAGGAGAGCTGTGCCCGAGGTGAGCAGGCGTTTCTCTGGGTGTCCCCGATGTGCACCCAGGAACACACACCCCCCAGCTCCAGGGCACAAGCCGACCTTCTCCTAAAGAAGTCACGGATGTAATTTCCTGCCTGGTCTCTGGAGCAGCTGGTGTTGGACGGGAGGGGGGCAGGGGTCCCATCCAGCCTGGGCGTGGGAGGTGGCTTTGGAGGGGGCAGGGCTGTTCTCAGAGCGTGGGGTTCAGCTCCTCGTCCCAGCGGGGGGGTCTGCAGCAGAGCGTGGGCATCCAGGGATCCCCGAGGCCAGGTCTTCACCAGGCTGAGGGGAGCGTGACACTGTGAATTCCAGCACCCTCAGGTCTGTGGACGTGGATCGTGGATGAAAGAGAAACAAGTTTACAGAAGTTCTGGTCTAGGTCAATCCAACCCTATCTCTGATTTTGAGATAAGAGAAACAACACAGCTTTTGGAGGGAGAGGAGGTTGGATGAAGCTGGCCAGAGGTCTTTGGGCACTGGAACAGGTTGCCCAGAGAAGCTGTGGCTGCCCCATCCCTGGAGGGGTTCAAGGCCAGGCTGGAGGGGGCTTGGAGCAACCTGGTCTGGTGGGAGGTGTCCCTGCCCAGGGCAGGGGGGTGGAACTCAATGATCTTTAAGGTTTCTTCCAACTCTGACCATTCTATGATTCTATTCTATGATTCTATGATTCCTTCAAAGCCCTGCTGTGGGCTGTCTGAGCACAGCATCACTCTGTGCTTGGCTGAGTTCAAACACTTGCCACCAAAAAGAGCTTTAGGTGGCCTCTGCTGAATGCTTGTAGGGCCATGTAGAATTTCCTTGGGGGTAGATCTTGTGTCTTTTTCCTGGGTGTTGGAAGAATATAACGAGATGGCATCATTTCCTCTGCTGTTGCTGAAGTCTCTCAGCAGAACAGCCCTGTGAAGGGAAGGCTGGGGTTTTTTTGGGATGCTGAATGGAAACTGGAAACGACTGTGGACTGTGAGGGACGTGCATCCCTCTCCCTCCCCAGGGTAGGGACGGGCCACCGTGGTGCGGCCG